AAATAAGGAAGTGGGATGATTCAGGCCAAAGTGCGCTGGGTTTCCCCTCCTCTGCTTGTGTTTTGGGCAGAAAATGCTGTCTTGCAAACCGGACTTTGGGAAATAGCCGTTGGGGGTGATTTTGGATGTGCCCCTTCTCAAAGACAGCCTGTGGACTGGTCAGGAGCGGGGAGCCTCAGGGTGATTGCATCTGGTTCTCAGAGAAGGGTGATGTGTGGCACTCCCCATACGGAGTGATGAACGTGGCAGTGATGTGGGCGCCCGCTTGCGAAGCCCCCATCCGGTTTATCTTGACTGTCGGTTGGGGGCTGGTTGGTGGTGGAGGTTTGAAGGCTCCTGAGAGAGAGCAGTGGAGACCGTGAGGACAGGGCAGGGGGGACACAGTGGGGGTGAACTCTGTCTGGGGGCCAGTGCACTTGAGCTAGGGGCTGAGTCACTGCCCCCAGGACAGCAGTCTGTCCCAGCCCTGGGTAATGTGTGGGAAGCTCCCCCAAGGGGGGCCAGAGTGGCTGCCCCCAGTCCCCACACCCCCTGCTGAGAGAAGCCCTTCTCACACTCCCCCCCGCCCCCGTGCCCCTCGGCCTCCTCCCGCGAGCCCCGTCTGGGACTCACCAGACTCCTGGCCTGACTTCCTGTCTTGGCCAATTTCACTTCCTGGTTGCAGCCTCCTGACTCTTAAGAACGAAACTCCTTCCTTAGAAATCAGAAGTGGGGTCGGGGAACCCAGACCACAGGGAGTGCTGGCAGAATCTGCCACCACGGGTGCAGTCAGAGCGTGCGTGCCGTGTGCTCCAGGGCCAAAGGCAGGCACCCCAGTCTTTGCTGGCTGGGAGGCAAGCCCTCCTCCTTTGGGGGGATGCATTCCCTGGAGCAGAGAAGTGGCACAGATGCCCATGGGACAGCCAGCGGACCCCCAGACTCAGCCCCTCCAGCTGTTGGAAGCCTTGTTCATTTGCTGAGTGCGTGCTGCATGCCGAGCTCCATGGGGACATGGGGACACAACAGTGGACAACTTCAGGACAGACAAGGATCAGTGCTAGGGAGATGACAGAACCAAGCCGGCAAAGGGACTGGGAGGACAAGCTTTGGAGAGGGAGGTCAAGGAAGGCTTCTTGGAGGAGGCAGGAGGGGCTGTGGGAAAGCCATCCTGGCACATTCAGCGTCCCAGTGCCTGGGGGGAGTGAGCAGGAGAGACAGGTAGGAGCCCTGAGACAGGTGAGCAGTGGTCCTGCGGCACTGAGGTCTTTGGACTTTATTCCAAGAACTTCAGGTCATCACCAGCAGCAGTTGGGCAGGGCAGTAACATGATTGGATGGGCATCCCTAACGCTCACTCGGACCACCTGGGAGAATGACTATGGTGCTCAGGCAGAAAAATCTAGACCGCTAGATCTAGGGCCAGGGCTGGGGGCACAGCCAGGGGGGGTTCGGGCCGCTGGGGACGCCTTTGGCTCAGGTCTGTCGGCAGGATAGACTGGCTGAGGGTTAAGGGGACAAGCAGGTCAGTGACCCCCCGAGTTGGGGAAATCGGTCATGACCTGGATCTAACTCCAAAGTTCAGCTGAGTTAACTTTCAACCTCCCGGGAGCTGCCTGGTACATCCGCAGCAGGTGTGTGGGGGAAGCAGGCTGCCCGGGCACACAGGGAAGAAAGAGGGCCAGTGCCTCTAGATCCTGGGCGGCAGAGAGCCCTTTGGGACCCCCAGCTTTTCCCTGCACCTAATTGGTTGGCCGAATCGCTTGCAGTAGAAGACCCTCAAGTCCTCGCGTTTCCCCCAGTGCTTACCAAGCCCTGCCTGCCCCCTTCCCCTCCGTGGACCACGTCGGCCGGGAGGCGGGGCAGACCGCAGGTGGAACTGGCTTGGGAACGAGGCGGAAAGGAGCTGTTTGCGCCCTGGCTGCCGGGGTGGAGAAGCTCTGTTTTTCTGGAACCCTCATCTGTTCTTACCGCTGCTGACGCCGCCGCGGGGAGAGAGGGAGGGGGAGCCAGTGCCGGCTTGGCCCGCCCCTCTGAACCTGGGCCGCTGCCACACTCCCCGCCGCCGCCCGCCCGCGTCTGGAGGTCACATTTGTGCCGCTGCGCGCTGGGCGCAGAGGACTGCGCCAGGACGCGGCTGTGGTGGGCGCTAAGTGGGCGCTGCTGCCGGGCGGCGGGGTCGGCGGGGCCCCCGGCCCACCGGCCCACCCCACTCGCTGAGCGTCCGCGCGGCTTGTGGGCGCTCAGGGCCCTGGTGACGCCTGGCACGATCCCGCCTTTCTCCTCCCCACCCCTCGCCTCCCGGCAACTTCCCGCCCCCGCGGGGGCGGGCACCTCGAGCGCGCGCGCGCGCGCGCGCCCGCGGAGAGAACGGCGTAAGGGGTGGCCGCGCGCGCTCGGAGCTGCGCCCCTCCGCTCCCGCCTGTCGGCCGCGGAGCCCGGAGCCGCGCGCGGAGCAGCAGACGCCGCCAGCTCCCGGCAGAGCGGTCAGCCTCCGCCTCCCACAGCTCCCGCCGGTCCGGGAGCATCCTCCAGCCGTATGTTTCCGGAAAACTTAGCCGAGGGGGAGACGCGGATGAGAGAATGTGAGTGTGAGGTCCGCAGGGGTTGAGGGCGGCGGGAGCTGGTGACGGGCGCGGAACGAACGCCGCCTGCCAGCGCGGGCAGGACCCTGGGAGGCAGCCCCATGTTTTCTGCTTGCCACCCTCCCTGCGTTCCGTTCCTGGACGGAGGGGGACGCCTCTGCCCTGCGGCGCGGTGTGTTTGGGGATCGTGAGGGTCTCGTTGGACGGCACTTAGTTAGGGTCTGGCGGCTCAGGCGCAGTGGGGTGTCAGGTGCTTCTCCCTGTGCCTCAAGTTCTAGCGTGGGGTCCATAGCACAGGACCCAGGGGTAAGACCTCGACCACCCATCCCAGGCCTTCCCGGCGCTTGAGGAAACTGAGGCCCGGAGGGCAGAGGGAACTGTCAGGAACACGAAGCGGTTCTGGGCAAGGCACTCAATCCCTCAGCCTAGTGCCCCCTCCAGAGTCCCACGTTTTCAGGAAGGGTTGGATGACCTCCACGCGTCATTCTGGTTTTTCCCACAGGGGAGTTAATGAGCCCCCCCTACTCCGAGCCACTTCTTTATTTGTTTAGGTAGTTTGGAAATGTCACCCTCCTCTGGGGTGGGCCACCCCAGATGGGAGAGCCGCCAGCCCCTCCCCCCCAGAGTCCGTGGCTGAGCCCCGGCTTGCCAGGCTCTCTTGGCCCTGGCTGGGGAAATATAAATAAACGCGTGTCCCTGCCCTCCACGATGGCCTGGCTCCCTGCAAGTGGCAGCTGCTGCTGGCGCTGCAGAGGGAAAAATCAGGGGACCAGGTTACACTTGGTCCCGCGTTGTCCCTCCCCTTCTGCGCCTGTCCTTGAGGAACCCTGAGGAGCGGCCGCCAAGCCATGTGGCCCTGGACACCACAGGCGAGCAGGTGGCCTGCGGAGGGCAGACAAACTGGCACCCACCCACTGGGCACCTCCCCGGGTGCCTTGTTGTGGCCCTCTGAGCCTCGCTTTTCTCATCCTGGAGATGGGGAAATTTACAGCATGGGCAGCAAGGATGAAACGGAATCACGTCTTTGAAGGGGCTTTAAAAACTCCGTGTCATTTGGTATGACGTGGTGGCTTGTTGATTTGTTTTTGCTGCTGTTATTTTTGTTCAGAGCCTTGTGCACAGCAAGTTTTCAGGAGACGTATGAATGGATGGATGGATGGGCAGAATGAATGAACGGAAATACCAAAACACAGATTGCCATCTCTCAGACCCCCTCCCCTGCAAGATTTCAGTTCTGTTTTGATTTGATTCAAGGAAAAGGGCCTAGAACTTCCTCACGGCTAATCTTCCATTAAAGTCACCGGAAGCCCAGCTCTGGTGCTGAGGATCTCCCCCCCGCCCCCCCATCCTGAGTCTGTGGATGCTGCCATTCTCCAGGACCCTTTCCCCCAGTGGGCTGGCCCTACCTGCTGGGGCATACGGGGCCGGGCAAGGTCACGCCTCTGGGGAGACAGCCTGCGAGTGCATGTGCGCACACGCGTAAGTGGCGTGTGTGAATGTGTGTGCGCGTGTGCACACGTGTGTCTGTGTACACGTGTGTCTGTGTACACGTGTGTGTGCTCATGTGCCTTATGTGGATGTACACATGGACATATGTGAGTGTGCATGCACTTCTGTGTCTCTGTGTGTGCACGTGCATCTTTGCACGCCGGGAGCTCTGTGGGCATATGGGCTGAGACCCGGCTTCGCAGGCGCTGCCTGGAGATGCAGCTAGGGCTGCCTTTCTGCTGAGCCCGAGATTTATGGCTTTGAAAATAGAACCCTGGGGAGGGGGTGCAGCTCTGGCCTGAACTGATGGGGAAGAATGGGAACTGTTTCCGGTCTAGGTGGGTTCAGGACAGGGCTCCGCCTGTCCTCAAGGTTTCTCCCCACATCAGGAGGTCTGAGAGGCTCAGAAGATCTCCTGAGACCAGGGGGTGGGGAGGCAATCCAGGGGCAGGTCCACCCCTAGCCCCCAAGCCAGCCCACATGGGCCCACTGAGTCCGGGTGGCTGGGCCCTGGGGACCTCTGTCAACCTGGGTACAGGCTCCTGGCCCCAGCTCCCCCCTTCCCCCTCCCGCCATCACTTTCCTTTCTCTCCGCCGGTATGGCCGGAAAACAGCCCTGTCTCCCCGAGGCCTCATCTGCAGCTGTGAGCGCATGTCAGCGCCGGCTCACCCGCCCGGCCCTCTGCCCAGCCAGGGGAGGCAGAGAGCGGGGCCGGGTGGGGTCTGTGACCTGGACATGGAATGTGGGATGCTGGCCTTGGCAGGGGGTACACCCAGAGATGGTCCTGTCTATCACCCTTGTTCCCTGAGCCCAGGCCTTTCCTGCACACTCCAGCTTAGAACACAGGGGACCCAGAACTGGGCCCGGGGTCCAGGCCCCTCGACACCCCTCTGGGGGCTCGTCCCCAGCAGGGCGTGTGGCCCACTGCTCACCACTCCTCCCTCCCTGCAGGTCTCCTGGAGCACGGCCGGAACTGGTCGGCCATTGCCCGCATGGTGGGCTCCAAGACCGTGTCTCAGTGTAAGAACTTCTACTTCAACTACAAGAAGAGGCAGAACCTCGATGACATCCTGCAGCAGCACAAGCTGAAGATGGTGAGTACCCCCGACTCGGGCTCGTGGGGGCGGGGGCTGCCGGTGGAGGTTGTCTGCACCCAGGTACCCTGGGCCTGGGGGGGGGTGTTTCCCCAGCTGTCGCCACGACTCGGCCCCTCAGGGTAGGGTCAGCGGTGCCCACCGGAGGGTGGTAGCAATCGGTCACCACTGGTCCCTGCTGGGCAGGGGTGCTTCCTCTTCCTGCTCTCCTGCCTTCCCATGCTAAATGCCTGCCATGGACACCTCCGGGGGCCTTAGCACTCACTCGGGGCGTGGGGAAGACGCCTCGGAGCCGGCAGCCGGCACTGACTCACCCGGAATCTGCAGCTGTCAGCGCGTTGGAATGAAGGGCCAGAGGCAAATGGGCCACATGCTCTGTCTTCCCTCCCCATGTGACCTCACAGCTTTGGGGCTGCTGTGGGAGGGAGGGACAGGGCTGGGGGAGTAGGCTGTACAAGGGGAGTCAGCCAGGACCCCCATCTAGGAGCACAGAAGGGGGAGGGCTTGCCTCAACCAGCGTGAAAACGGCCATTTTGGAGCAGCCACTTCCTCACAGCTATGCCTGGGAACCCCGACCCTTTGGGGCGGCCTCTGCTACGTTTTCTGTCATTCTTGGTGTACTTGCCACCGTTTTATAGGTGGGGAAACTGAGGCTCGGCCAGGTGATGGTGTGCTCTGAGGCCCAGAGCCTTGTGCTTTGGAGTGGGACCTGTGCTGCCCACTGTGGGGCTGTGTTTCCCTTGGGTACTGAGGCCCCAGGGGGACGCACAGCTCCCCTGCCCCATGTAGCCATCTGCTGCTGGGTTCCCCTGTGGGCAGCCTGTCCCAGGTGCCCTGTGTTGACTCACCCCCCTGCAGCCCACCAGCTCACACGCACATGGCCACATACACCAGGGGTAGAGTCGTCCCTCTGAGCTCTCTGAGCACTGAGCAGACTTAAGGCACCATGGCGGCCCCACCGTGGTTCTCACTGACACGTGTTGTGGGCGCTGGGTGTCGTAGGCCATGGGCAGGGAGCCCCTCCACACTCTGCTGTCTCCCTGTGGTCCCAGCAGCTCTGGGCTGAGTTGGCCTCCTGCCCTGACCCCACCACTTCCAGTCACATAGCACCCCCTGCTGTTCACACGGGGCCCTTGGGACTGTCTCTGGAGCCCGCAGACCCCAGGAGTACCCACTTGTGCCCAGGGACTCTGCTTCCTCCTGGATTTTCCAGGACTCTGAGATCAGGTCTGCTCGGAGGAGGCTCAGAGAATGGGAGCCAGTCTTTGACCCCTGCCAGAATCCCTTCTGGCAGAGGTCCCCCAGCCTGAGCAGCCTTGGGGGCTGAGCTGGGAAGGGAGCTCCAAAGTCGAGTCTGACCTGGCAACTCTGCGGCCAGGGCTGCTGCTGGGCTGAGCATCTTCCAGACCCAGGGGGTCATCCTCCTCCCTCCCTCCCTCCCCTCGCCCGCTCCCCCTTTTCTCCTCCCTACTCTCCCTAACCTTCCCGTCTCCACACTCCCCCCTTTCCCTCCTTCCTCCCTCTTTATCCCCATCCCCTCCACCTGCTCCTCTCCCCTCTCCCCTCTTTCCCTCCCCTGTTCCTCCTAGTCCCTCCACCCCATCTGGACCCGGTGTCCAGATGGAGCCAGCCCAAATAGCCCAGGCCTCCTCCTCCTCCAGCAGCCCCCCTCCCAGGAGGCCCCCACACTGCATCCCCTTGGCAACTGGGAAAACACCAGCAAGGCTGTTAGCGTGGCTCATCACGTCCTAGCCTGGCAGTGTAGCACCTGTGTGGCCTTGGGAAGTGGCTTCACTGCCCCAGCCTCAGTTTCCTCATCTGTAAGATGGAGAAATAATAGCACTTAACTGCAGGAGTTCTCTTGAGGGCTGAACAGTCCGTGGGAACTTAGTGCCTGGTGGAGGGGGTTAGGCCATTTGTCCTGATACTCCTGCTGCTGCTCCAGCTGCTGTTACTGTTGCTGCTCCTTTTGTTGTTACGACGGTTACAACTACTGTTTCAGCAACCACCGCTACTGCTGCCTCTGTTACTATGTTTGTTACTGCTACTGTGACTTCTACTACTGCTATTTCTGCTACTATTACTACAGCTGTTACTACAACAGCTACTGCCGCTGCTACTACGTGTATTACTACTGCCACTTTTGTTACTACTATTACGTTTTTTGTCTTTATTCCTACTACTGTTTCTACTGTTACTACAACTGTTATTACAGCAGCTACTGCTGCTGCGGCTACGTGTATTACTATTGCTACGTCTGTTACTGCCATTACTTCTATGTCTGTTACTATTTCTATTACTACTATGATTGCTATTCTAGCAACAGCCACTACTACTGCTATTACTGTGTCTGTTACTGCTTCTCCTATCTCCGCTAGTAACTACTGTTTATACTATTGCTATAGCTACTGTTACTGCAGCCACTACTGCTACTCCTACTGTTTCTGTTACAGACGTGTGTTACTTCTACTAGTACATTTATTACCGCTATTGCTATTACTGTTTCTACTACTGTTTCCGCAACTACTGTTACAGCAACTGCTAGTGTCACTATACTACATTTCTTACTGCTACCGAGTCGGAAACGACTCCACAGCAATGGTTTTTTTTTTTTTTTTAACATATATATATGTGACCGTTACTATTGTATCGCCACTACTACTATTGCATTTATTACTACTACCCCGTCTGTTACTGCTACATCTGTCGCTACTATTACTACTGATTTTATCTCTGTTATTCTTACTGTATGTACTGTTGCCACAGCTGCTACAGTAGCAACAACTATTGCTGTTACCGTTGCTGTTAGGTGCCGTTGGGCCAGTTCCGACTTGTGGCACCCCTAGGTACACCAGAACAAAATGCTGCCCGCTGCTACATCTGCTACTGCCGCTGCCTCCCCTACTCCTGCTGTTACTACAGCTACTGTATTACTGTTGCTGTGGTTGGCTTTTTGAAGGTGCTCATCCCTCTTCTCAGGGGTATCTGAGATGCCCTCTTGAATGGTCCAAGGCAGCAGCCACGCCTATGAGGGGTTCAGGGCAGGACTGTATTCGGGGCTCTGCCACCTTCTAGCTGTGTGGCCTGAGGCAGATGGCTTGTCCTCTCTGTGCCTCGGATTCCCCCACTGTAAGGTGGGGATGCTAACAGTGCCACCTCAGGGCTGTTGTGGGGATGGACTGAATGAGGGCAGGTAAAGCACGCAGAATGGCCTGGCACACCATGAGGCTCTGGAAAGGAGAGGCATGGTGATGGTGACAGTGGCATCCCCATGGCGGCCAGATACCCCGTGGCCAGAGTGAAGTTTCCTAGGTCAGTGGGCCTGACACGTCTGCTCCTGGATTGACTAGTCAATTGGCTGATTGATTCACTCATTCAGAGAGGCAGCCTGGTGGGATGGAACAGAGCAGGCCCCTAGGACTGATATGTTCATACCCCACCTTTGCCTTCTCCTCACCAATGGCCATGGGCACAGGGCTGTGCTATTACGGGCCTCAGTTTTCTGCTCTGTAAAATGGGGATAAGACGAGGCCCTACCTCCCAGGAGTATTGTGAGGACCGTGAGAGGTCATGTTTGTAGAGGACAATGTCTGACCCTCAGGCCGCACTCAGGAGGTGTTGGCACGACCCCCACTGTTCGTTCAGTAACCCTTTATCAAGCACCGTCTGTAGCCAGGGCAGCATCTCAGGTGTCCTGAGCGGGGAGGGTTTCCTTGTTGGCCTGGGGCTGGGATTTCTTCAGTGGACAGTGGGTGCCGTGGAGGGTGTCTGAGCCAAGGAGCAGCCCCCAGGACTGGGATCTGGGAGGATGGTGTTCAGGTAGCACTTGGGAGGTGACAGGCCAGCAGGTGGGACTGGGTGAGGGACGGCCAGGTAATCAGTCTACAGAGAAGAGCCCCCGCAGGGAAAGGCGGGTGCCAGGGCTGGTTCCCCAGGCCGGCTTTGTGGGGAGGACTTGTACTCCCCTGGGGGTGTATGCCGACTGCGGGGACGGTGTGCTCTGTCTGAGTTGAATAGGCCAGAGCTCATAGAGGGGCCCCTGAGCCCCTGGCTGAGAACATTCTCGGGAGTGGGCAGCCTGGGGAGGAGGCATGGACAGGAGGGGAACCCTGCGGCCACCCCCTTGGCCTTGTTCCCCGGGTGAGAACGAGGAAGCCAGGTAGGGGCGGGTGCTGGCGAGAACCAGGGACTGCAGGAGACCCTGGCTCCTTTGGCAGACACCTTTCCTGTGGTAACAGACCTGGTCTCGCAGAGCAGAGCAGGGACCCCAGGTGGGGAAGGTGAGGCCTGTGAGCCACGTCTCAGGACACACAGGCAGGCAAGCCCTGCTAAGTGAGAGCCGGCGACCTCGAAGGAGCAGATGTCTGTCGAGTAGCTGTCAGGGCTCAGTCTGCGCCTGTTGTCATGGACAGTGGCCCTTGGGGCAGGGGTGAGGTCTCCTCCCCTGGAGTATTCAGGCAGATGTGCGAGATGCCACTGGACTCTGTGACCTCTGTGTCCCACCCTCCCTGCGCCCAGCAGCTCCATCTGGATTGTGGGGAGACATGTCACCCTTGGCCAGCGCAGAAAGGAGCAGAGAAGCCAGGGGGCCGGCAGTGTTCCCTTCCACTTCACAGCGGCCCAGGCTGACTGACGTCAGCAGGAAGCAGTGGGGCAGGCTGAGTGTGTTCTGTCCCGGGTGTTCTGTAACATTTGGCATCAGTGCCTTTTTCGAGGTTTCCTCCCCTCCATGTGGCCAAAAGTTACCCTCTTCTCCCTGCTGTGAGTCCAGACCCTGGACTCAGCTTCCGTGTTCCCCACTCTCTGCCCAGGCCCTGGCTGGCTTTGTGTGACTCCTTGTGTCTTCCATCTGAGGCCACGCAGGCCTGCCGAGGGAGATGGTCCAGTGAGGGGATGGTCTGAACCTGCCCTGCATTCAGATCCTCGACTCTTGAGCTGTGTGGTCTTGAGCAAGTGTCTTTGCCTCTCTGAGCCGTGTTCTTGTCTAGCAGGTTCAGTCTTCCAAAGCAGTGGTCCCTGGGTGCCTATTTTGTGGCAGGCACTATTCTAGGTGCGCCCGGAATATGGCTGTGAGCAGACAAAAATCCCGCTTCTTACGATGCTAACCTTCTAGTGCGCAAGACAGAGCAACACACAAGTAATTTTAGATGGCGGTGTGACGATGGCAAGGCTTGGCAGAGCAGAGGTGATTGATGCGGGTGGGCTCTGGGGGTGGCTGATTTAGAAGAGATAATCAGTGAAGAAAGGAGCCCTGGTGGCACAGTGGTTAAGCACTCAGCTGCTAACCGAAAGGTTGGCAGTTCGAATCCACGAGCTGCTCCTTGAGAGAAATATGTGGCAGTCCGCTTCCATAAAGAGTACGGCCTTGGAAACCCTATGAGCAGTTCTACTCTGTCCTATAGGGTCGCTATGAGTTGGAATCCATTCAGTGATAATGGGTAATCAAGGAAGACCTCTATGAGGAGGTGACATTTGAGCAGAGCACTGAAGGAAGTGAGGAAGGGACCCATGAGGGTATCTTGGGGAAGGGTGTCCAGGCAGAAGAGAGCCAGCGCACAGGCCCTGTGACTGGACATACTTAGCACACTGGCACAAGGAGGCTAGTGTGGGAGAACGAGTCTGAGAAGGCTGTGTGGGTAGGATGAAGACCTGCGGTCTACTGCAGGGGTGTGGGGACCCTTGGAGAGTTTGAAGAAGTAGCGGTGTCACTCCTGGTTTGCAGAGCAGCTGTGTGGATCCAGTGAGTTAATACCTGGGCCAGATGGGCACGTGTTGTTAGGTGTCGCCAGGTCGATTCCAACTCATAGTGACCCCATATGACAGAGAAGAACTGCCCCATAGGGTTTTCTAGGCTGTAATTTTATGGGAGCAACTCGCCAGGTCTTCTCTCCTGCAGAGCCAGTGGACAGCCGAGCTTGTAACCACTGCGCCACCAAACCAAAAAAACCCATTGCTGTGGAGTGGATTCCAATTCAGTGACCCTATAGGACAGGGTAGAACCGCCCCACGGGGCTTCCAAGGCTGTAGATGTTTACGCAAGCAGACTGTTGTATCTATCTCCCACGGAGCCGCTAACCACCAGCCTTTCGGTTAGTGGCCAAGCGCTTAACCACTGCGCCACCAGGGCCTCTACACTGGAAGGTGCTTAGTCAGGGCCTGCTGCGGTTATTAGCATTGCGGATCTCCTGTCTCATGCACAAAGCCTGATTCACAGTTGCTGGGCTGCCTGTGGAGGGTTTGCTATAATTCCTGGAACACTTACGAAGTCTCAGCCTTGTTGGGAAGGGTTGAGTTCCAAGTGTTGGCCTTCCCATCCCGCTGGGCTCAGCTGTGGGTCTTGGAGGCTCTCCCAGAGGGACCTCGTGTCTTGGGGGCCCTCGCTCCTCGGGAAGGACCTCATATCTTGGGGGTGTGGGGCTCCCCAAGCCCACAGAGCTACCTGTTCACTGTACAGCCTCAGAGGTTCCCCTGCTGCCCCACCCCCTGTCCGCCCAGCTCTCCTCCCAGCCAGGAGGTGTCTCGCCCAGCCCCAAGTGCTCACTGTCCCTGTTTGCTAAAAATAGATTGAGGAAGAAGGGGAACCCTTCGCCACACCCACAGAAGCCACACGCCACACCACTTTCTCGCATCTCTGTGGGCTTGAGCCAGGGGCCTCCCAGGCAGTGGGAGCTTGGGGTGTGGGGCAGGGCTGTGCAGCAAGGAGTGCCTGATGGCCGTGCTCCGAGGATCCCCATTCTCCCTGGAAGTAATCCCACCCTGGGCTGTGCAGGAGCTGGGGGATGGCACATTTTGGGCAGGAGACACCCCCCCCCCCAGGCCTGTTTTCAGCCTGGCCATGATGAACGGCCGGGTGGCAGGGCCTGCCTGGCGCATGGGTGGAGGTGGTGAAGGCTTTGCCCCAGAAGTGGACTGTGCCGTGTCGTGATGTGGGGACCTAAGGGGTTGGGGGAGGGGTACCACTGAGAACTAGTGGCACTTCAGGAATGCTGCGGGTGTCATCTCCGTCCTTGGGATCCCAGAGCCCAGCCTGTGGCTCCCGCGTCACACCTGCTGTGTTTCACGGGCACCCTCTTAGGGACCTCGATCACCCCAGGACCCGCAGCCGCCTCACCCTAGCTACCTTCGCCAACTCTGTGTTTGAGCCCAAGAAGGCCACCTGTTCTCAGTCACTCTGCAAGTCAGTCAACAAATGCTTTCTGAGCCTCTGCCTGGCTTGGCACGGGGGTAGAGACACCCAAGACGTCTTTCCTGCCCTGCTGGATCGCATGATCCTGCGAGGCAGACACACAGCAGTCGTACAAAGACGTTTTGGTGTTTGTGCCACGCTGGGAGCGTGTGTACTGACCACATACCAGGAGGAGCAAGGGATCGGTGTGGAGACTGGCAGGGAAGTGAAAGCTGCTTTCTGTTCCTCAGGCACGCCCGCAAGCTCTTACCTCAGGGCCCCTCCACCTGGAGCACCTCATCAGCAGCGTGTGGTGCCCTTGGGCTACACAGGGCGGCCTTTCCTGACCCTTCCACCTGCAGGAGCCCTGCCGGCCCGCTCTGCAGCCCCTCCATCCTTGATCCATTTCACAGTCCTGTCACCTTCTTGTAGTCCTTCCTTCTTGACGTGTTTATTGTCGTTCTCCCCAACTAGAAGAGCTTTGAGTGCAGGAACCTTGTACACGGTGCCTGGCACATAGTAGGTGCTCTGTAAAGACTCACAGGGTGAAACGACACACTTCCCAAAGTAATCTGCCCCCTAAGGGGCGGACGAGAAAGGCAAGAAAAAGGCTCATTTGCTCATTTCTCAAGTACTGATGCCCGGCAGGTGTCCCCCCTCCTCTGTCTAGGAGGGCCACCGTGGGGGGCCTGCAGGCAGAGGTGGGCTCCCACCTGCCCTGGAAGGATGTCAGGGCCTTGGGCTGGCCGGGCTGCGCCCAGGGTGTATTGGGGACATGCTGGAAGAATAAAGCCCTGGGTAAAAATAGCCTGGCCTGTTTGGCCCCTGCAGTGGGGTGCAAGGGGGAAGGCCGGCCATGTGGCCGGGATCACTGTCCTTCGCAGCTGTGGCCAGGCCTCGGGCACGGGGAGTCCCTGGGCTGACAGCCCGGGCAGTGACGTGCCGCTGTCCCTGTGCCCTAGGAGAAGGAGAGGAACGCCCGGAGAAAGAAGAAGAAAGCTCCGGCTGTGGCCAGCGAGGAAGCCGCCTTCCCGCCCGTGGTGGAAGACGAGGAGATGGAGGCGTCCGGTGGGAGCGGGAACGAGGAGGAGATGGCAGAGGAGGCAGAAGGTAAGGACTGGGGGGAGCCAGGGTCAGGCTAGGGGAGTGAGGACATGGTGGGAACTGACCTCAGCAGCCTCCCCTCCCCCAGAACCCCTTAGTCTGCATACATGGGCCTTGGCTTGGAGGGGAGAGCACCACTAGCCAGAGCCTGCCTGTGACGAAGATGATGACAACAATAATACCAAGAATAATTAGCTTCCCTGTGCTGGGCGTGCATCCAAGCCCCATTCAATCTTCCTGGCCCCGCTATGAGTTGAGTCCTGGCCGCCTGTCCAGTGCCACATTTTAGAAAGCTTTATTTTCGAAAACAGTTTTTTGACCAGAGCTATGGTATAAGTCAACTGATATGTATAGAACCAATCTCAGTTGTTAAACGTTTCTAAATTTCATAATTACGTTCAGTTCCTCCTTTTTACTCCGAAGCATCCCAACTTAAAGGATAAGTTACACATGCACTTTGCTTAGCGTGTCTGTTTTAAATCTGGGGAAACTGAGGCTTGCAGCCGCTGACTGTCTGGCTCAGGACCCCCAGTATCATGGAGTCACACCGTCTGCATCCGCCTTAGCTGGACTCTCCCGCCGTGTGAGTGCTGCGTACCTTGCACTGGCAGCTCACCTCCGTGAACAAACCACATGAGCTGAAATTTGACCGCACGAGACTGTCTCCACCTTAGCTGTAGAGTCCAGGCCCTTGTATAACTCGAGATGCCACTGTGTAATAAGTGTTTGTAGACCCAGGAATTAAGCCCCGACTGCCCATGCCAGACCCTTCCCTCCTGACCACTGGTCAGTCCCCCTGTAGAGACCCCTTCTCCCTCTCAGAGACAAGCTGGCTTTACACCTGCCTCTGCAGCGTGATGCCCCGAAGGCCACAACCCCTGTGTAGCTGACTGTCCCTCCCGCTCTCTGTAAAGGGAACCTTACTTCCCCCTCATCCCGTCTGGGGCATCTTCCTGCTGCTCTGGTGGCCTCCGTCTCCGTGTGTGACTCCCCAGCTTCTGCCAACGTGGTGAAGGGAGGTGGTTCCGTAACTCAGGCCTGCGAATCAGCTCAAGCTCTACCAGCCTGCGGTGCATTCGCCAGCCTGGATCTTGCTTCCTGGGTGAAAAGTGGAACGCGGGGCCGCTCGGTTATTGTTGTCTCAAGTCGGAACGGCTCTGGGGTGCTGAGCGCCGCTTCCTTGCCAGCTCTGGGTTTCTCCCGCCCAAGTCTGCCAGAGGCCTGGCTGGCATCTGGGAGAACCAGGCCTATGCATCCCGCTGGATGTGCCACTCTGGGCCCTGGGTCTGTAGCAAGGGACAGAGAAGACATAGGGAGCAGAAACCCACTCCCCTCTGTACGCCTGCCAGGCTGTCTGTGTGGGCAGAATGCAGGGGAGTTAAGTGGAAGGAAGCCAGTCCTTGGCTCAAGATTAAAACGAGCAGATGCTGGTCAGCAAGAGAACTGTGTGGTAGTGAGCTCCCCATGACTCACACGGTTGGGGCGGGGCTGGCTTGGCCAGAGGCCGTGCCTTCTGTGGTTCCCTGGTGGTCCTTCATGCAGCTCTGAGCAGCTTGAGGACGGCGGTCTAGAAGATCCTACACGTGCCTCCCAGTACCCAGCAGTGGTGTAGGGCGTTAAACCCATGTTAGAATGAGGCCACCGAGGCTCGGGTCCTAGAGCGTCTTCCTGGAGTGTCTGCGGTGCATAACTGGCAGACTCGGGAAACCCCCAGCCCAGCCAGTATTCCCTGTGTGTCCCCACCCAGATGAGCTCTCTCAGTTTGTTTCCCGCCTGTAGAGCAGGCCTGCTTTTCTCTGCACCCCCATGTGCGTGAGGTCAGGTGGAGGCCAGGTGGGCTGTCAGTAATCTCAGGGAATTGAGAGAAGGCTGCCTGGAGGTGGGGAGGTTGAGCAGAGATATCCTGGGAGGGAGGTTGGATCCCACAGCCACCCTGAGGGAAGCTTTCAGGGGACCCTGACGATGGAGGCATCTTGCTGCTCCAGATGTGGGGGGGGGGGCGGAACCCATCTGGCTGGGCAAGCCAGGGAAGGAAGGCCCCAGAGCCCAATAGCCCAAGAGTAATAATAACAGTCATAATAATGACGGTGGTTTGCAGTTACTTCCCTTAATCCTCACAACTGTCCTATGAGGTAGCTGCTGTTGTTTATACCCGTTTTACAGATGAGGAAGCTGAGGGCCAGAGGGTTGCCCAAGGTTACACAGCAGGTGTGTTAGGCCTCAGGATTCCTGCCCCAGCAGCCTGGCTCCAGAGGTGGTTTCTCCATCCCTGTGTTCCACAGCCTCTCTGGGCCGTAGTTTTAGAAGCACCCGCTATGTGTCAGGTGCCAGGTGCCACGCAAAGCTGTTTACCCTGCTCCGGGCAGTGTTTGTCAGGGTGTGCACCCTCACGCAGCAGCATTAGCATCCCTCCGGCTCGTGAGAAATGCAAATTCTTGGGCGCCACCTGTGTTCACAGCCCCCTGAGCACATTTGGTGCTCTGCGAAGGTTGAGAGCCCTCGGGGCAGACCAGCAGGCTGACAACCGACCGTGATAGCCCATGCTGGCTGCCCATTTTGTGGATAGAGAAACTGAGACTCGGAGGTGAAGTTGCTGGTGCAAGGGTCACGCACTGGCCACCTGTGTGGTGTGGTCTCGTTGGGTGAGGGGAAGGGGACAGCGTGGCCGAGTCATCGGCCAGGGTGGGACTGCCCAGCAGTAGGAACAGTGGTGCTGGGTTCACGGTCCAGTCCCCTGCCCTCTGCAGTGTGGCCTGGAGTGGTGCTGCATCTCTCCACACCTCCGTGTTGTCTGCACGTGGGGTGGCTGTGGCCCTGCCCGCAAAGGTCAGGCAAGGTTAAAGGAGTCTGTGAGGAGCTGAGCACGGGGCGTGGCATACGCAGAACCACCCTGGGTGATTTCTGGAAGGGGCAGTCCTTGCTCGGCTGGAGGGGAGTGAGCAGTGAAGGCTGAGGGAAGCCTTTGTCCGGGGCCACAGGGGCCCCTGCCGGCCTGGTTCTGCCTCTGAGGGATGTGTGTGGTGGGTAGCCCAAGGACCTGTCCTCCAGCTTCGCTCCCTCCTGAGGAGGACACTGCCCCCAGGGGTCCTGGGAACCTAGAATTAGAGAAGGCTAGTGACTTGGCCACAGTCACTGGGAGTGGCTGAGGCTTGCCTCTTGCCCCGTCCCCCTAAATAGTCCCAGGGTGGGCTGGCCTTGGACAGGCCTGATCACCTGCCTGCTGGGTACTTGCAGCTCACTTGGGGGCCTGCAGGGTGAGGCCATGCCCGTCCCAGGATTTGGGCTGTGGAGCGTGGGAGCGGCCAGTGGAAGCTACTGTAGGTCCCCCTGCTGCCTGTGGACCCCTAGGCCCTCTGCCATCCCCGCCTCCCCCTCCCAACCTGCTGCCTGCCGCCAGCTGGCTTCTAACTCTTCTCTAACTTCCTTCCAGCCTTACATGCCTCTGGGAGTGAGGTGCCCAGAGGGGATTGCAGTGCCCCAGGTATGGATGTGGCCGCTGGCCTGGAGGGTAGGGGTGGGACTGGACCAGGGAGGGGACATGTTGAGACCACCTGTCCTCTGCAAGGAAGGGGCCCCATCTCTCTGCCTCTGTCACCATTTGTGCTGCTGCCTCCGCTGCCTCTGTCCCCCCTCTCCAGCTCAGTGTCTGTTCCCCATGCTGTTCCCTGCCTTGCTTCTAGCCTGGCGGTTTCATGGATTTTCATTCCTGCTGTCACCTGGTTTGATCTCCCCAACAGCGAGTGCTGGGGGAGGGGGTGGGAGTTTGAATGTCCTCATTTTACAGGAAATGGGGGGGTAGAGACCCAAGAAAGTCATGAAGTGGTTTTAAGGCTCAAGAGCCAGAACTGGGCCCAGGGCCCCTCGCCCTCCGTCTGTGCACACACCCAGTCAGTCAGCACTTACTGTGCACCTGCTGTGTACCAGGCTCTGGGGGAGAAAGAGGATGCTGATGGCAGGGTTCCAGAGAAGCAGGTCCAACGGGAGGGAGATTGGAGAGAGAGAGATTATTTTACGGAGTTGGCTGATAAACAGTCGTGGGGACTGGCAAGTCTGAAATCTGTAGGGCAAGCCGGCAGGCTGGAAACTCAGGCGGCTTGTGTATGTTATGGTCTTGAGGCAGAATTTCTTCTCCAGAAAACAAACTTTTTGCTCTTAAGGCCTTCAACCGATTAGGTAAGGCCCACCCACATTATGGAGGGTGATCTGGATTGCTTAGAGTCAGCTGTGATTATTAACCACATCTACAAAGTACCTCCATGGCAACACCTAGACTAGTGTTTGAATAGCTGGGGACAAAAGCCTGGCCATGTTGACACATAAAACTGACCCCCACATGGGCTGTGCCAGTTCCCCGGGGTCTCCTCTCTGGTCATGTCACATCTTCACTGCATGGCAACAATGATGGTGGTGGCAGTGACTGGTCCTCAGGCTTTCACCCCGTGCTGTCACTGGCTTAATCAACCCCGTGAGAAGGAATGGCTATTCTCCCCATTCTACAGATGGGGAAACCGAGGCCTGAGAGGTAACCTGAGTTTCCCAAGACCTCGCAGCCGGTGCGGGACAGAGGCAGGGTGGGAGCTCAGACGAGAGTGTGCAGACCCCTGAGTGCGGCCTGTGTCTGGAGCCCCCACTCCTTTGCCTCTGTGTATAGGGGGAGGGTTGCCAGGCACCAGGGTCCTGCGGGGAGAAGGAGGTCAGCTGGTGGGGCCAGCACCAACTGAGAACCTGCACAGGAGCCTGGGGCGCATTGGTGGGGGTTTCCTGAAGGGCTGTGCCTGCCTCCCCATGGTTCATGCCTTGTTGCTCACCCCCCTCCGCTTTCTCCACAGTTGCTGTCAACAATAGCTCCGACACTGAGAGCATCCCGTCACCCCGCACTGAGGCCGCCAAGGACGCTGGGCAGAATGGGGCCAAGCCCCCACCCGCCCCGGGCGCCGATGGACTACCCCCTGCGCCACCCACCCCACCTCCAGAGGACACCTCGGCCCCTGCCGAGCCCACCCCGGCCCCCGAGGCTGCTGGCCCGCCCACGCCCCCCTTGGCTCCCCCGTCGCCAGCTGCCCCTGTGGCTCCCAAGGTGGAGGAGGACGAGGCCACCGCCACCCCAACCGTGGAGGGGGAGGAGCAGAAGCCCTCCGTGACGGAGGAGCTGGCAGTGGACGTGGGCAAGACCGAAGACCCCGGGGAGGTGCCCACAGAGGAGCTGGTCAAGTGCAAGGTCGAGCACAAGGAGGAGACAGGGGAGGACGCCCCCGACAGGGCCAGGGACGTGGAGGGGGGCACCGAGGCCACGCCCGAGGGGCCCGTAAAGACCGAGAAGAAGGAGGGCGGCGTGGGCAGTGGCCCTGGTAGCAAACCCACCATGGCCAAGGGCACAGGTGCCCCCCAGGACAGCGACTCCAGTGCCACATGCAGTGCGGATGAGGCGGATGAGACTGAGGGGGGCGAAAAGAACAGGTGAGCGGGAAGGAGCCTGGTGTGAATCAGCGGGTGGCAGGGCCAGGTCTCTTGGGCCACCAGGCCACAGCGGGTGGCTGCGTTTTATTCTTGGTGAGACGGGGAGGGCTCGAGAGCTTTCTGCCCAAGAGGCGCGCAACGTGTCCCTGCCGAGGGGATGGCTGGGATGGGGGTGAGAGCAGTAGAGGGAGCCGGCAGGGAGGCGCCTGCTTGGGGTGGTGGCATGGAGATGGGAAATCGATGGCGTGAGTACCTTCTGGAAGCTCCTCTCTCCTCCACCGAGGGCCCTGCAGTGATGGGGAGGGCCTCCCTTGTACCATCCCACTTGGGCTCCCATGTCCCAGGTGTGTCCCTCATTTTCCGGGCCCTGTCTCTGCTCTTGGTGTGGGGCCTGACCCTCAGCCCCGGGAACGCTGGATTTTAACCACGTTTGGGCGTCGATGTCCACTGGGCCCCCAGCCCAGATCAAAGGCCTTCCTGAGTCAGGGCCGATCCGGGTGGCTGAGGGCGGTGTGTGGAGGTGCTAGACGACCCGCTCCCGTCTGGGTGGCTCGGGATTGTTTGCTGGCGAGGCAGACGTGTCATTTGTGTTTTGACTGAAAACAGCGTGGTCTGTTCTCTCCTCTTGCGTCAAAGTTGAGGGCAGAGCGAGGGAGGAAAATCTGACCTTCATGTCTGACGGTTGGTTCCTTTGCCCTGTGATTCACCCTTGGGACTCTTAAAACAGTGGGTTCTAGGACATTCCATATGAAAATCAGACTCATTCAGATCCTTCAGGGCCAGCCTCTGTGTCTGGGGCTCCCTGGGCCCTGCTGCTGGGAGCCACGCCCTGTTTGTGTCCAGGCACAGACGGCCTGGGGGATCCTGTGATGTGCCAAGGCCCGGCCCACAGGCTCCTGGGGGCACAGAGTTCTGAGCTCCCTGCCAATGGGCGCAGCTAGGAAAACAGTGCTCATGGCACTTTCGGCCGCCAGGGAGGGCGGGCGGCCAGGCCAATCTGCTCTGCTTATTCCTGGGTAATGGGGTCAGGGCGGGCAGGCTCCTGCTGGTGCTGGGGACAGTGTCACGGACACATGTCTCTGCTTGAGTAGAGAGAGCACTGAGCTCATGGGCAGCCGCGCTGATAAGCCTGTGTTTAGGGGACATACACAGCCTTGGCTGGGGAGCTGGGACTGGGACTGGGGGTGGGGGGCTGATCCTGCCATCCCCACAGCAGCCTTTTACTCCCACTGTCTTCCCTCCTCTGTGACAGCCCTGCTCAGGGATGCCTCCCCACCCCCACCCTCAGCAGGGCCTGGCTTCTGACCACCCCCTGCCTGAGTGTCCCGCATTCAACCCCCAGGGAGCAGGAGCCCTGGGCTGGGAGTCAGGACACCTGGTCCGTCACGCCCTGTGTGACTGGGCAGTCCCCCGCCCTTCGGGCCGCCTGGCCCTCTTTGCGAGCATCTGGACTCCAGCCAGCCCGCTGACCTCTTCCTGCTGGCGGCCTGCCACCCCCCTCTCCGGGCCACGGCTGTGCAGGCCCGGCGGGTGCTAGAGGATGCAGATGTGTCAGTGCGCACCCTGGCAGCCAGGGCCTCGGGAGGGGCCGCCTCACCCCCGCCCAGCAGCTCCGGAACTGTGGACACCGTGCTGTGGGTGGGCACAGATGAGGCTGGTGCTGGCCCCATTGGCTCCAGAAGACTCTGAGAGGGAAAATTGTATTCCACTCTCTCTCCAGCACTTTCTACTAGCCGGCTCTGCCCAGGAGTGTTCTTGGCAGATGGCCAGAGATAGTGGTCTCGATCACAAAGCCCTGGGCCAGCTGCCCTCCCCCGTTCTGTTTCCCAGAGAAGGTACCTGGTGCTCTCTGGCAGGGTCAGGCCTTCAGAAAGTCCCTTCCCTCTAGCCTCAGTTTTCTCATCTATAAAGTGGGTGTGGATGTCCCCTCTTGGTGGGCTTGTTGTGAGAACGGCAGAGTTAATAACTGGGGCCAGGCATACCGTAGGTGCTCAGTGGAGAGTCTGTGCCCTCCTTGGATCTGCTTCAGGACCTCGTAATGGGCTCCGGGAGATGGAGCTCGAGCTTGGGTTTTTCCGCTGTGCCCCTGGGGTGGTGAAGGAACTGTAGAGCTGTTTTTCCTTTGCTGCTTTATTCATGAGACGACGGGGCGGGCTGCAGTGTGGACACGCAGCAGGGGACGGGACAGACAGCACCCTGGCTCCCAGGCGCTTACGCTCTAGTGCAGGCGGCAGATAGAAAGTGCACAGCACTCACTATGGGGAAAGACGGGATCAGGGAGGGCAGACAGTGGGCGGCCCGCTCAGGGAGGCACTCCCCCTCTCAGAGGTGACAGAGGTGATGCTGAAGGTCATATGAGGCCAGGAGGGGAGGCAGAGGAGTGGCCAGCGCAAAGGCCCTGTGGCCACATGAGCTTTTGTTCCACGGGCAGCAGAAAGGCCCGTGGGGTAATGCTGTGTGCACAGGGAGGAGGGGCTGGGAGGGGAGGTCAGAGAATTGACAGGGACTCGAGCTCGTGGGCCTTGTGGGCTGGGGTGAGGCATTGGGGTTTTATCCTGGGGTCCTAGGGAGTCAGGGAGGAGACCCGACTGTGTCTGTAAGCACGCTGTTCACGAACCCACCTGTTTTCCCCTCCCAGCCCCCAGGATGGCAGCAAGGATTCTCCTAGCCTGGTGATAGTGGGGAAACTGAGGCATGGGCTCAGTGGGGTGGGGAGCGGGATGCACCTGCCAACTCCTGACTCCTACCCCCGACCCCCTACCACCTCCCCGAGCCAGGCCTAGCAGGGTGGGAAGGAGATCCCCAGCAGTACTAGGCTTGCCTGACCTGCTCGGCCCTGGTTACTGCCCCCAGTCTACCCACAGGCAGCCCAGAGAGGGAGTGGCTCCTCGTCTGCACAGTGCAGATGAGGAAACCGAGGCATGGTTGGCTGTGTCACATGGCCAGAGGTGGGGTTAGAGCCCGAGCTTAGTGGCGGGGGGAGGGGGGAGCGCCTGGCCAGCTTCCCTGGCCTGCCCAGGCCACGCGCTCGTGCCAGGCCCCGCGGGCCCCCAGCCCGCCTGGGAGAAGAAAGCCACAGTCTTCCACAGACAAAGGAAAGGGGAGGAAGGGAGGGCAGCGTGCCCCCCGGGGCTGCTGGGGCCAGCAGGCTGGGAACTGTGCCGGGGACCTCCCCCCTTCCTCCCCTCTCCAAGGGCTCAGGACCCTCAGGCTCCTCGTGGATTGGAGGCCAGACCCTCATTGTCCTCGGATGCAACCCTCCTCACCTGCGACGGGTCCAGCTGGGACCAGGCCCCCTCCCCCAGCCCCTGGCACCCACCAATCCATTCCGTCTTTGGATTTCCCTATTCAGGACATTGCGTGGAAGTGGGGTCGTACAGTGTGTGGTACAGGAAGTGTCGTTCTGTGTCTGGCTTCTTTACTCAGTGTGTTCTCAGGGTCCATCCATGGTGTAGTGGGAGTAAGTACTTCATTCCTTTTTATGGTTGAATAATACTGCAGTAAAGGAGCCCTGGTGGTGCAGTAGTTAAAGCACTCGGCTGCTAAGTGAAAGGTTGGCAGTTTGAACCCACCAGCGGCTCCAGAGGAGAAAAGACCTGGTGATCTGCTTCCATAAAGATTATAGCCTGGAAACCCTATGGGGCAGTTCTCCTCTGTCCTGTAGAATGGCTCTGAGTTGGAATCGACTCGATAGCACCTGACAGCATGCATGTCCCGTGTTTTGTCTGTTCCCTCATCCGATGATGGACGCTTGGGTTGTTGGCTGTTGTGATCAGGGCTTCTTTGCACGCTCAAGGACAGGTTTCTGTGTGGATGCACGTTTTCAGTTGTCTCGAGTGGACACCTAGGTATGGATTTGCTCGGCCAAAGGGTAACTCCCTGGTCAGCCTTTTGAGGACCTGTGAGGGAGGGACGAAGGTGGGGTCGTGGTGTCCCTCAGGAGCTACAGGGTCTGGGCAGGTCCGGGACGGGAGGAGAGGTCTGTGGGCTGGTTGGACAGGAGAGGTCGGCATGCCCTTGCTCTGTCCATCTCCACCTACAGCCACAGGCGCTCAGCAGGTGTCTCCACGTCTGCTTCCCTGTCCCCGCTCAGCCAAGCGTGTGACCGATGCAGGCGGGGGCTAGTGCCTGCAGGCCTGGACCTGCCTGTCTTGTTCGCATGGTCCTTGGGCCCCAGTGGAGGGCAGCAAGAGGCTGCGGGCAGGGAGTTAACTCATCTCCCCGCTCCGTCTGCCCCCAGGAGGCTTGTTCCCATTGCCGTGGAGCTGTGAGCCCGCTTGGCAAGGTGGGCATGGGTCCTAGCAGCACCTCTTATAGGTGGCCGTGGCCTCAGCCAGCAGGGTCACGGCACACAATAGGGGCTGTGGCAATAGGACCCGCTGCCCCTGGCAGATTCCAGGCACATGGTCAAAGCCCGCATGCCCACCATGGTCATGAGCTGGCTCTAAGCCCAGGTGCTGTTGACAGCCGAGCCACCCCCAGCAGGGCTGCAGGGGTGAGGGACTGGCACCCCAGTCCTGACTCAGCTGCATCACAGGCCCTGCCTTGGGGCTCAGGCCTCTCGGATTTGGTGAGGAATATTCTCTCCAAATCACTTGAACTCAGGGTGGCTTGATCTGGTTGACTGCTGGTTTTCTGGCAGCTCCTGAGGCCCCCGTGGTGTGGGCCCTGGGTTCTCCGACTTTCCTTCCTGGGGAGTCGCAGGAGCAAGCGTATGATCCTGACCTTTGCCAGGTGGGTGGGCCTGCACGGACCCCAGGAGTGAGGACTAACCATCCTCTCCCCTCCCCCTCCCTTATCCCCACCCTGAAGTCTTGCCAGCGTCCTCAGGAGACACGGTGGATGCTGGCTGTGTAGCCCTTGTCACCACCTCCTCTCCCCTGGCTGGCCCTTCTGGCATCTTCCGGACCCCAGGGCCTGAGGCTGGAGGGGCGAGCAAGGCAGGACCCCTCTACCCCGAGACCCAGCCGCCGCGTTCTGACCCTCACTTCCCTCGCAGGCTGATGTCCCCAAGGCCCAGCCTCCTGACCCCCACCAGCGATACCAGGGCCCACACCTCGTCCCAGAAGCCACTGGACCTGAAGCAGCTGAAGCAGCGGGCGGCCATCATCCCCCCTATCGTAAGTGCCAGCCCCCCCGGGGCTCTCCCCCACAACACTCCCCATCATACGTGCCGGCCCCCCAGGGCTCTCCCCCACAACACTCCCCATCGTATGTGCCGGCCCCCCAGGGCTGTCCCGCATAACACTCCCCATCATTCGTGCCGGCCCCCCAGGGCTCTCCCCCACAACACTCCCCATCGAATGTGCCGGCCCCCCAGGGCTCTCCCCCATAACACTCCCCATCCTACGTGCCGGCCCCCCAGGGCTCTCCCCCACAACACTCCCCATCGTATGTGCCGGCCCCCCAGGGCTCTCCCCCATAACACTCCCCATTGTACGTGCCGGCCCCCCAGGGCTTCCCCAACACTCCCCATCGTACCTGCCGGCCCCCCCGGTGTTCTCCCCCCATAACACTCCCCATCATACGTGCCGGCCCTCCAGGGCTCTCCCCCATAACACTCCCCATCGTATGTGCCGGCCCCCCAGGGCTCTCCCCCACAACACTCCCCATCATACGTGCTGGCCCCACAGGCTTCCCTGCAGGGTAAGGAAGCAGCCCAGCACCCTGACCCCGCCTTCCTGTTCCCCGGCCAGGCGTGCAGCCAGGGTGGCAGGACCTGCGCCTGCGGCACTCCTCCGTCTCCCTCCCTGTCTCCCTCCCGTTCGTTCCCTGAGGGACCCAGGGGGCTGGCTGCACAGTGGGCTCTGGGTGAGCATGGCCTGCAGCTCCCCTTCCTGCCCTCATCAGCACCCTGTAGCTGGCTTGGCCACCCCCTAAGGGTTTCCTAAGCACCCCCAGCCCAGGTCCTGGGCCGTACAGAGGCAAGAAATCCCCCTGGCTGTACATAGCCCCTTGGTGAGAGGAGGGTGGGGGCCCCCAGGCCTCATCTCTGCCCTGCAAGGGCCCCTCTGGAAGGTTTGGGGGTCCGGAGGTGGGGCTGGGCCTCCCAAGTGCAGCTGGGGACTCTGGACTAAAAGACCCCAACAAGTCCCGCTGGGCGTCGGGGCTGCTGGGTGGTGGGCGTCGGGGCTGCTGGGTGTTAGACGCCAGGCATGCCGTGCCGAGCAAGCCCGGCTGCCGGCTCCCTGAGGCTGGCCCAGTTCTGTTTCTCTGAGGGATTTCGGGTGTGGAGGAGTGGGGTTGGTGGAGAGGTGGCACTGGCTTCCACCCACCCACTGCCCAGCAGCTGGGACCTGGCCACCTTCTGGAGGCTGGCATGCCCTTGCCACTGAGCCATGTGATCCCAGGCCAGTTGCTGCCTCTTCTGGCCTATGTCTCCAGGCTGGTCAGCACGGGGCGTGGGAGCCCACCTTGACCTCTGTGACCCGCTTCTCCCCACCTCCCTCGGCAGGTCGCCAAAGCCCACGAGACCCCCCGGGAGGACGCCGCCCTCCCGAAGCCTGCTCTCCCAGCCCCACCACCCCCACAGCACCTGCAGCCAGAGAGTGACACCCCCCAGCAGCCCAGCAGCAGCCCTCGGGGCAAAAGTAGGAGCCCCGTGCCTCCCGCCGAGAAGGAGGGTAAGCTTGTTCCAGTGGCTGAGAGGGTCAAGGGGCGTGAGGGGCCAGCAGGAAGCACAGAGGATGTGTGTGTGTCCAGAGTGGCCATTGCAAACTCAAGGTCCACGGTGGCGAGGCAGGTAAAGTAAATGAGCAAACTGTGGAGTGGGGGGTGGGCTTAGTGTAAGGCAGTAGGGAGTGGTGGGGCCTGCAGCAAACTGGAGAACTCACGTTCTTTCTAAAGTGGGCAGCATATCGGCCTCAGCCAAGAGTTGCCATGTGGGACTGTAGGCCTGAAGGGCTTCTTCCAGAGAAATCTATGTTTTCATGAAGAATCTCTTAGTTGCTCAACATTGGTAACTTAGTCAAAATTTTTGAAAGCATTGTACATATGTGAAAGCACCGTGCACGTGTGAGAGCGTGTCTGCGGCCCAGCCTCTGGTGCGGTGTGATTCCATCCTCACATGAGCTTCTAGAACCATGGGTGAGGCACGGTGCCCGTTTGTCCCTACTCCAGCTCTCATTTTGCCCTTGCTCCAGGCCGAGGTCACTGGGTTTGCCAGGGACCCATCCGGTGGGGCGGTCCTCTAGGCAGCTGTGTGACCGCAGCTGCCCGGGGCGTATTTTATTGTTACTACGTGAAGCTGAAAGGAGACAGACGGGCCTGCCTTTCTGTTCTCTGGATCTCTTCTCTCTACACAATTCCTGCTGTACCTGGCAAACTCCGAGCCGGTGTCCCCAGGAGGCACCCTTCCCAGACCAGCCTGGCACACAGTGGGTGTTGTTGACAGTTTGCAGGCGGGCCAGTCCCCCTGTGGGTGCAGGCCAGGCCTCCCACCCCCGTCCTCCCAGGGACAGGCCGAGGTGTAGGAGCTGCCACATCTTCCCCCGCCCTGTTTTCCGACCTGCTCCCTCTCTAGAAAGCCAAGTTGGCCTGCAGCCAGGGCCATGCCCATCGAGGACAAAGGGCAGAGCAGGTCTTGAGAAGGAGGTCCACGCTTCCCACGAGTGCCCCGGGCCTGCCTGCCACTCCCTGTCTGATCCACCTGCCTTGCCCCACTCCCAGCTGCCCTCCACCTGCTGCAGGAAGTCTGCGCTGCCACCTGCAGGAATTGGGCTACCTGTCCAGTGCTGGCAACAGCCAAGCTCTGTTGCAGGCAGTGGGGCTGCCGCAGTGAGCGCGCAAGGCCCTGCCCCAGGGAGCTGCCCTGTCACGTGTGAGGGGGGGACACTCAGCACGTGGAAGAGGAGCAAAGCCCGAGGATTTTAGAGTAGTTCCTGCAGCAGAGGAAGCAAAGCAGGGGAGCAGTGAGGCCTGTGCAGGGGAAGGTCTCTGCAGAGCAGGGAAGGAGCCAGCCACGGGGGGATGTTCGGTCAGCCTTCCAGGCAGAGGCAACAGCAGGTGCAAAGGCCCTGGGGCAGGAGCAGACTTGGTGTGTTCAAGGAACAGCCAGGAAGCTGCTGGGGCTGGGGGCCAGAGGAGGAAATGGAGGGACGAGATTGTATAGGGCTTTGCAGGCCTCGGTGGAGTGGATTTTGTCTTAGGTGCAGTGGAAGCCTCTAAGCATTTGGAGTACGTGTGTGTGGAGGGGCGACCTCGTTACTAGTTTGGAAAGCTCTCTCTCTGGCCATTGTCGAGGGAAGGCTACAGGGCTTGAGGGCAGGAGCCAGCAGGACCTGCTGGTGGTCGGGTGTGGGGAGAGGCCAGGGAGGGCTGCCCTCTCTGGGCCCGGCCGGCCATACACCTGTCTACACTGGGGCCCCAGTACCCCAGGGTGGGGCAGGGCTCACAGGGCGAGGGTGAGATGCAGGGCCTGGCGCTGGAAAGGTGGTACGGGTTTGGGGGGTTGCGTGGCGATGTCAGGAGGCCAGACAGCTTTGGCCGTGTCGATTCTGAACAGGTCTAAGCCGCACTTGGGAAGGTGGGCACCAGCCAGGGCCTGCTGGGGTGGGTTGCGGGGCCCGTCCTGGAGAGTCAGCCGCTGGCCGGCGAGTTTCAGGCCCAAAGCTGCACAACTTCCTGGATGTGCTGCCACAGGAGTGTACCCAGCGTGTTCCACTCACGCTATCTGGGCTTCCGCTCAGCTGTCATAGGCAGCTGAATGGAGCACACGAGTGACCTTCTGGGCCTGCAGGAAGCATGCGTACCCAGTGCTTGGCCCTGGTGCAGAGCCAGCTCCTCAGGCCAGTCCCTGTGCTCCCGCGGGCCCACCTTAGGAATAGGCTGCTTCCTGGCTCTCAGCTGCCCGCCAGGCTGGCCCAACCCTGCTGTTCCCTCCAGCCTCACGGGCCACCCCCACCCTTGCCGCAGCCAGGGCACACGGGGCTGGGGCAGCTGGGTGGCAGGGTCCAGGGTGTTGGTGGGATGTTCCAGGCTGGGTAGACCTAGAAGGGTGTTCCCCCCAGCGACAGGTGGAACCTGAGAGTAGTTACTCTTCGTGTGTATGACCCTCCCCCACCCTACCCCGTGTCCTGCTGACCTCAGCAGGCGGCCGTCGAGTGTGGAGGCCCGCCGTCTCTCTGGGAGAGGATAGAGTGTGTGCAGCACTCCGCCCTCGTCCCCACCTGCTGTGCCTGTGGCAGGCATCACTCATCGGTCCTCGACCTCCTGCCATGCCCTAACAACACTTCAGAGTCTTTGCCTGTCATCTGGAGGTGACACCACTCTCCGTTCCTGTTCCCAGGCCAGAGGGCTCTCGTTCCCAAGTTCAGCCAGACCACACTGTCCCTCCTGCCCAACTTCTCGAGCTGGTTAGGGCCCCTGGGATCCGGCCTCGTGCTTCCCACCAAGTCTCAGGGGACAGGGCAAAGAGCATAGGACACGTTCGAGCAGAGGGTGAGAGGCTGGCAAGAGGACAAACCTGACTCCCTGGCCACTGGCTGTGCCTACAGGGTGCCCCCCGGGGCCGATGCCGCTCCTCTGCCTGTGGGCAGTGTGTACAGTGGTTAGGGTCACAGTCTGCAGCCCACTTGCCTGGGGTCAGATCTCACCTGCCACTCGATAGCTCTGGGCCTTTGACCAGGTGACCTAACTTCTCTGAGCCTCAGTTTTCCCATCTGTAGAGTCAGGACGAGTCTAGTCAGTTCCTCTTAGGGTGCCGTGAGGGTAAATGAGTTAATATGCGTACAGCCCGTAGATTACTTGTAAAGCAGATGGGAGGAGGCGTTAGCAGAGTAGTGCTTCTTGTATTGTCATGCCATTACTTGCAGCTGCGTGGGTCAGGAGGTTAAGGGTTCAAACCCTGGCTTGGACAAACACTTGCTGGTAGCCTTGGATGAGTCCATTGATATGTCTGTACCTCACTTTGCCTTCAGTGAAATGGGTCAGGTAACAGCCACTTCCTTATGAGCTTGCTGGTGAGCTGCTTCACCCGGTGGTGGAAGACTTGGCACAGAGCCTGGCACGTAGTACGTGCTCGCCACATAGTACGTGCTTAGCACACAGCCGCCGCCCTGGGGTTGCTGGGATCCAGGCGTGTCTCGGCGCTAGGCCTCCCTTTCTGGGGCTGGGGCCTGAGTAGGGTACAAGGAGGACCTGGGCTCTTAGCCACCCATCCCAGCCCCCACCTGCACACACTGCCAGCGAAGCATCTCTGAGTGGAGGTCTGCAGGCTTGTCCTGTGCAGGGCCTGGGAGCCTGTGTTCTTGGCTTTGTTGGCCAGTAGCCCCTGTGGCAGCCTCTCCCATCTGCTGTAGACAGTAAATGAACGGATGGGTGTGCCTTCCAATAAAACGTTATTTATAAAGGCAGGCGAGGCTCTGCACGGCTGGTTTAGGGGTGCGGTCAGGGCCTCTGGCCTGCTGGATACTGTGTTGGGGGGCTACAAGGCCTCCTGTGACTTCAGGGCCACGAGAGCCCCAGCCCATCCTGGGAGACACCTGCGTGTTGAGTGGGAGTTGCTGGGTACTCAGCAGGACTTGGGCCGGTGTGAACCCCAGTCCTGATGGCTGGGACCCTGCCCCACCAGCACTGTGGTCTAGGTAAGACCTCTTGTTAGAACAAGTTGGTCGGGCTGTGGGGTCCCTGAGGGGTGGCCAAGTGCAGCCTGACTGTCTTGCCCCTGCCCTCAGCAGAGAAGCCCGTGTTCTTCGCAGCTGAGGGCCAGAAGCTTCCCACGGAGACCCCCTGCTGGACGCAGGGGCTGCCTTTCCCTGTGCCCCCCCGTGAGGTGATCAAGGCTTCCCCACACACCCCGGACCCCTCGGCCTTCTCCTATGCCCCTCCTGGTGAGTAGCCTCGGCCCGGGCTTGGGCTGCTGGGGGCAGCCACCACACCGAGTCAGCCAGCGCGCTTTCACTGAGCACTGATTGCCCTGGCTCAGTACTGCACACGTCTTAGCGTCTGATGGGGCCCTGTGGTAGGGTAGCCTGGGCAGTGGAGGGAACGCAGGCATCCGTTGAGATTTGGGAAGTCTGCGGGATTGGGATTGAAGCAGCGGGCAGTAGGGAGCCACAGATGGTGCTTGAGCTGGCAAGGGGCTTAGAGTTGGAGAAAGGGCAGATGGAGAGAAAAGTCTGGGGAGGGCAGGAGAGCGGCTGCTCTGGTTTAGAAATGCTTAAGGCTGGGTATGAGATCTGTTGTTGGGGTTCTCCAGTCACACTGGGCCCCCCAGTGATAGACACGGCGTAGCCAGGGGACTGGTGTGGACTGAGGTATTAGCAGAGAGGATTCCGAGGGACAAGTGGGCAGAGCAAGCTGGGAGAAGAATGGGGAAGAGCATGCTAAGTAGTGGGAACAGCCTGTGCAAAGGTCCAGGGGCAAGAAAGAGTATGCAGAGTTTGAGAAACTGCACCCACTGCCAGGAGGAAGCTTGGTGGCCAGGGAGGCTAGGCAACGGGTGGGGGCCAGATCAAGTGACCCTGAACACTGTGTCAGGGGCGAAACTATCCTGAGGGCAGTAGGGAGCCATAGAAGGTTTGGAGCAGGGGAGGCATGAACCAGTGGATTCTTTTAAAAATCCCTTTGGTTCCTGTGAGGGGAGTGGACCGTTAGGGGATAAAGTGGGAGCAGGAAGGCCAGTTAGGCGTCCGGGTGACAGGCGCTTGGCCCAGGCTGCCGGGCAGTGGGGTAGGTGGAGGATGGCATCCTTGGGGAAGTAGTATGTGAGCCAAGGAAGCAGCAGCTGACCAGGACAGAGACCCTAGGGGCATGAGGGACGCAGCTGGTCTGGAAGCAGATAGAGAGCAGCTCTGGGTCCAGCAGAGCAGGGCCTGCCCACCCCAGGCCCCTGATGGACAGATATGTGCCCACAGGTCACCCGCTGCCCCTAGGTCTCCACGACACCGCCCGACCCGTGTTGCCACGCCCACCTGCCATCTCCAACCCACCACCCCTCATCTCCTCCACGAAGCACCCCAGCGTCCTTGAGAGGCCCCTGGGGGCCATGTCCCAGGTGAGGCAGAGTGGCTGTGCGGCCAGTTCCCAGAGAGCAGCCCCTTCCTCTCTCGGGTTTGGTCTTCCCGTCTGTAAAGTGGGCACATTGGGATGAGAGCAGCACCTTCCCCTCTCGGGGGTTGTCTTCCCATTTGTAAAGTGGGTGTATTGGGATATCGGATCAGCAAGGTCTGGGTGGGGGCCGGGCTCTTGGGGGGCCTAACTTATCCCCATTCACGGGGGTGCTAGGGTCCAAGCTGGCCGGAGCCTACCCTGGGCACTCGGAGCTGCAGGATCTTATGTTGTTATGTGCTTTCAAGTTGATTCTGACTCACGGTGTCCCCGTGTGGCAGAGTAGAACTGCCCTGTAGGGTTTTCCAGACTGTGTGGCCTTGGGCAAATGGCTGAGCCTCTCTGTGCCTCCGTTTCCCCATCTCCGTTTCCCCGTGAGGCGCTTAGCAGGGCACCTGGGGTGTGGTGAGCGCGCAGTAGCTGGCCGTGTCTTCCCCAGCATGGCGCCAGGCCTCTTCTCCCGTGCACCTTTTCATTTAATCTGCCAGGTGACGGTTCCCACTGCACAGGTGGGGACCTGAGGCCCCAGGAGAGGAGCTGACTTGTCCAAGGTCACATGCTGGCAGGTGGGGTGCAGTCCGAGGTTTCCTCTGGGGCCCTTGTGAAAAGAGATGCCAGGGTGCAGGTGGAAGGACACCATGGGGGCCCTGGTGACCGTACGGCTTCTGCCCCTGCAGGGCATGTCAGTCCAGCTCCACGTCCCGTACTCAGAGCACGCCAAGGCGCCTGTGGGCCCCATCACCATGGGGCTGCCCCTGGCCATGGACCCCAAGAAGCTAGGTAAGGGTCCGGGCCCCCCAGGTACCCCAGGCTTGTCTCCACTGTCCTGTGGGGGGGGGGGGGCAAGGGCAGTGTATCCTGCCCCATGGGACTCTGGGTGGATCTGGGGAGGGCAGGATGCTGGTGTGAAGGGACAGCCCTGCCGCGTCTCACCCCAGTGGTGCGTGGCTCACCCTCTTGCCCTCCCCAGCGCCCTTCAGTGGCGTGAAGCAGGAGCAGCTGTCCCCACGCAGCCAGGCCGGGCCCCCGGAGAGCCTGGGTGTGCCCACAGCCCCTGAGACATCCGTGCTAAGAGGTGAGGCCACGGGGCAGCACAGGGGAGGGCAGGGTCTGGACCACCCCTCTGCCTCATTCCCCAGCCTCTACCCCTCCATTCCAGGGGGATGCAGGCAGAACGGGGCCCTCCCAAGACCCTTTATCCCAAACCTCCTGACACACGTCGGCTCCCCAGGGCCCAGAAAGCCTCTCCCAGTTGTCTGCCGTGTTACCTGGGGGCATGGGGCCAGCCTCCAGGGCACAGTTGGGATGGCTCTCAGGACGGGGCCTCGTATCTTACAGGGACATCTCTGGGCTCAGTCCCTGGAGGAAGTGTCAGCAAAGGCATGCCCAGCACGCGGCCACCGGCAGAGAATCCCATCATGTACCGCGGCTCCATCACCCACGTAGGTGTCACGGGCACAGCTATCCAGTGTCGGCCAACATAGCATAGCAGTGCCTTTCCTGGCCAATGTTGGCGACCCCCCGGCCTGTGCTTTCCTGATGAGAAGGGCAGCTGCCTTGGGGGGTTACCTGTGTTAGTCTGTTTATACCACACTCTGTGCAGAAGAAGGAGCCCTGGTGGCATAGTGGTGAAGTGCTCAGCTGCTAACGAGCGAGTCCACAGGAGATATGGTAGTCTGCTTCCATGAAGATTACAGCCTTGGAAACCCTATGGGGCAGTTCTGCTCTGTCCTGTAGGGTTGCTATGAGTCGGAATTGACACTATAGCAGGGGGTTTGCATGCAGAAGTATCCTCAAGTACAGCAGAGATCCTATCTCAGAGGCTTGCTTGAAAAGTTTGAGACTTCTGGATTCAGGGTGACTTCTTTTCCCCCCCCTTGGAGACCAGGATCTAGGATAAACTGCAGTGGGTGCCTTTGCTCCTGACCCCACAGGGAGTGGCTCCATTGCAGAGACTCTCTGAGTTCCATGAAGTTCACACACAGTAGGACCCTGGATTGGATTGGTTCTTGGATGGCAGAAAGAGAAGAGAAATTGGGGCTCCAGGACACCTGTCCATGCCAGGTGCCTTTGAGAGCAGGCAGCCCTCACCCTTGAGTGGGAGGTATTGTGTCCATTGTGTGAATGTGCACACTGAGGCCCAGAGAGGCCAGGGGGCAGGGTCTCACAGCAGCTTGGTGAGGCTGCATTTGACACCTGGAGGTCTGACTGGAGGCACTTTCTTACCCACACACTCGGGTTCTGGGAAGATGTTCAAGGCAAGAAGCCGCCCCATGTGGCTGTCTTCCCTCTGCTTTGCTTGGATATGCCCCCTAACGAGGAGCTCACTCCCTGTAAGGCAGTGGTTCTCAGCTGGGGGTGACTGCCCCCAGAAGACATGGGGCAATGCCTGGGAGCATTTTGGGTTGTCACAACTTGGGGGGCACGGCTGGCATCCAGTGGGCGGAGGCCAGGATGCCGACTACGCATCTACAGTGTGCAGGATGGCCCTGCAGCGACGAACCGTCTGGCCCAAAATGTCAGTAGTGCCGAGATTAACAGACCCTACTCTAGAGCTCAGGTTCCTGGTGTCCTGCCCTGAGCTGACTCCTCGGTCTGGCTTTGGGAAAAAAGTACGTGAGACCTGGTTGCCCAGCACAGGGGCCCGAAACCCCAGATTCTTTGCCAGCTTTCGTTGATAAGTGGTTGCTGAGGCTTTGAGAAGGAGAAGCCCATACAGTGTAGAGGTTGGGGCACAGACTCGGGGGCCAGCCTGCCCAGGTTCAGATCCCAGCCTCATCACTCAGTAGCCAGGTGACCCTGGGCAAAGTCACTTAACCTTGCTGGGCCTCAGTTTCCCCACCTGTACGATAGAAATAGGCCTAGTGTTAGTTTTTACCTCATGTTCTTGTTGAGTGCCATTGAGTCGTAGCAACCCCAAGAGACAGAGTAGAACTGCCCTGTAGGGTTTCCTAGGCCGTAATCTTTACGGGAGCAGATCGTCAGGTGTTTTCACCTGCAGAGCTGCCAGTGAGTTTGAACTGGCAGCGACCTTTTAGTTAGGAGCCAGGCACTTAACCATTGTGCCACCAGGGCTTCCTCATCTACCTCATTAGGGTGGTTTTAAGATTTAATGAGTTAATGCTGAGAACAGTTAGTGCTGAGAACAGTGCCCGTTACTAGAGCGCTTGGGAGGTGACCCTGCTTGTCACGATCGCTGTTTTCTTCTGCGTGCTTGTGTCCTGGGGCTCTGCTTCCGCTTTTGAGACACCACATGTGTGCACACGTGCGGTGGTGGACACATGTCCTTGTAAACACATGTGTGTACTTGGGATGCCTTTGTGCAAGTTGGGTTGACCCTTGTGTCTGGCGGGCGTGTGGGATCCTCAGCCGCAGCCACCCGCCATGTGCTCACCGCCTCGGCACCCACAGGGCACTCCAGCCGACGTCCTGTACAAGGGCGCCATCACCAGGATCATCGGTGAGGACAGCCCCAGCCGCCTGGACCGTGGCCGGGAGGATGGCCTGCCCAAGGGCCACGTCATCTACGAGGGCAAGAAGGGCCATGTCCTCTCCTATGAGGGTGAGTTGCTAGGGCTGGTGGGGGCAGATGGGCCGGTGAGCCCTCACCCCGCTGTCCTACCCAACTGCAGGGCCGTCGACGCCCAGGCCTGATGTCTGGGTGACAGGTCTAGTGGGAAGTGGGGAAAGCCGGGCCGTCGGCATCTCCTGGACACGTCAGTCCCAGTGTGTGGAGCCCTGCCCCGGGAGCTCCTGGCCGAGCACACCCACACACGAGGTGTTTGTGCTGCATGCAGGGAGACCCTCGTTAACACTGATACTAGGACCTGCCCTGTCCAACTCCGTTTGTCCATGTGATTGCCTTGGTGCCCTGGAGTCAAGAGAAGTGTCCAGAAAAATGTGGTGGGCAGTTTTGCTTGATTTTTGGTGTGGGTCCAGGATGGAGCCAGATGTGCTCAGAAGACAAGTCCGAGGGGTGTGTGGCTCTCTCGTCAGCCTTGTATGGCTGGGAGCTAGGAGGATGGGTTTAATTCCATTTTGCAAATGAAATCTAGGTACAGCAATGTCCAGTGGTCCTTCTGTGTGGCCACCTTCCCAGCCCGTCAAGGAAAGGAGGCCCTGGACTGGGGAGGCTTCACAGGGAGGCGGAGTGGGGTGATAACAGGAAGCACTGAGAGGTGGTGATCTCCCCATCCCTGGAGATATGCAAACCAGAGAGCTGGGCTCCAGCAGCAGGTCACATCAGCCTTTGCCACCTCTGCCTAGTTCTTTACAATTTAGGGGGCATGTTTGTTGATGGCCTCACAGGGAGCATGGTAGGTTTCCAGGTGGGGGAACCAAGGCCCAGGCTCACACTGCCAGGCTTCCACTGTGCAGGTGACCACAGGGGGCAATGGCCAGAGTGGTCCTCTGAGCCTGCTTCAGTACCCCTCACCCTTCTCTCCTCTTCTGGGCTCTGGGCCCCCGAGCCCGGGAACCCTGCGAGGAAGGAGTTAAGGAGGCTAAGAGCTGGGGGAGCGAGCTTCCTGGCAGCCACGGGACCCCGGGGGCTGTGGAGATAAAAGCTGCTAATGCACCCCTGGCAGCGGCTGGCAGCTGCACGCCGTAAATTGCTTCCTCTTCACGGAGACTGGCTGACGTCTCGGAGCGGCTCGCTCAAGCCCTCGGTGAAGCTTTTTCCTCCCCACCCACCTCTGCTGCACCCGATGGCCTCCCCGCCCAGGCCTCCACTGGGGAGTGGAGGTGAGACCGTGTGACAGGCATGTGCTTCCCTCTGCTGCCACGTGGAGACGGTCTTGGGTACAGGCCATCATCTGCATCTTTGGGTCATCCCATCTGGGAGTTCAGGCTCGGTCCCCAGCTGAATGCACTGGCTTGTGGCTCAGGAGTCCCTGAGGGAGGGTCCCAGCAATCAAGTCTGCAGGACTGTCGGGAGAGAGTGAGCACTGGATTGGAATCGCAGCTCTGAACCAGTTCTACTTTATCATCTTCAAAATGGGTTGACATCAGGGCTTTCAATTCTCATACGCTGCTGGGGCTGGGTGGCTGTGAGGAAGCAGACCAGGGGTAGGCAGTAGGGAGTGGCGAGGCCTGTGGCACCCTGGAGAGCGAGTGCTGCATCTGGAGGAGCATCTGCCGTCCACCACGAGCTGGTTGTCACCCTGTGCTCCTGTGAGATCTCACCGTTTTCAGCCAAAGTCTCCCAACGTTTAGACGTCAGCAGTTAGTGTGAGAAACCTTAGAACAGCAGTGTGCTGTGTCCGTAGGCTGGACTTGGCCACAGGCTACCAGCGTGCAGGCTCTGGGGTGGTGAGTGCTGGAGGGCCAGTTGAGGTAGCAGATTGAGATCCTCCAGGAGCAAGGAGGATCTCAGTCGTACCTGCAGAGTGGCAGGGCTGGGCCCGCAGGAGCTGATTTCTAATGCTCCCAGACTCGGCCCTCTTAGGAAGGGGGGTCCCCTTCCAGGAGCCCAGCCTGATGGGCGAGACCAAGCCTTAGCCTTAGCTGGACCTAGACCTGTCCGGGGCCTGGAGCCCAGCCTGAGCACCGCCCCTAAACCCCCAGTCCCTCTGGGCTCACTCTGGCTTGGCGAGGTGACCTCTGCCACAGAGACTCCTTCACTCTGACCTCCCGCCCCCAGACACACTCCGCCCTCACGTAAACGTGTGTGTACATATTAGTACACGTGCACATGGACTCAGGCAGCGCACTGGGTGTGAGGATGGCTGCGCACCTCTTGGCACGCCGCGACACACGTGTTCATGGAGTCATTTTGTGTTCAGCGGTCAGGCGCGCACACGTCCACACACACAGACCCCCACTGACACACGTGGTCCTGCGTGTCCACGTGTTCACAGCCTCCCAGCATACATTTGCTCACTCACATGCTTGTGTCGCGCTGGGACTGTGTGCGTGGACAGGTTGGTGCACGCACACATGCTCGTGGTGGCCAAAGGCACACTTATGTGTTGACAGGACCACCTGATGATTCTGGGCGGGGCTGCAGGAACCTCGCCTGCCTGCCCATGTGAACCTCCTAGAAAGGCTGAGAGGCTGGTTGCTGGGGTCCTGCCGGTCAGCCCTGGGCTGGATCACAGGTCCTAGGTTCCTGTGGCCTCGGGGGTCTGTATGTCAGACACTACTGACGCCTGCCGTCGCCAGCCTAGCTCTGCACACACGTCCGCCCCGTCGCCAGGCCCTGACCTCACCACCATGCTTTCTGCTGTCCAGGTGGCATGTCTGTGTCGCAGGGCTCCAAGGAGGATGGCAGGAGCAGCTCTGGCCCTCCGCATGAGACAGCTGCCCCTAAGCGCACGTATGACATGATGGAAGGTCGCACCAGCAGGGCCATCTCCTCCAGCAGCATCGAAGGTGTGTGCCCTGCCCTGCCCGGCCCGTGTGCCAGTGGACACAGACGTGCTAGGGGGCCCAGGACCTGCCCCCGGAGCTTCCCAGCTGACTGGGTTGTAACCACAGAGAGAGAAGTCATCTCGCAGCGCCCCCTTGAGAGAGGGGGTGGCTGGTCCTATTTTACAGATAGGAAAAGTGCAGCTGCATTTTCTGAGGCTCAGTCTTGGGGCGGTGCAGAGTGTAACATACAGATACATGGAAGACGGAGCACCTGGTTGCTGGGTTCCAGTCAGCCATCATCATCAGGGAGATGGCCTTTAGTCACATGAGGGACCCATTACTGGGGGTTGTGGTTCGGGCCCTGGGCCCTGTCACTGACCGAAGTCGACTAGGTCAGGGACCCAGAGAATGATGGTCTTGCCCTTCCCCAGGTCTCATGGGCCGCGCCATCCCACCCGAACGGCACAGCCCGCACCATCTCAAAGAGCAGCACCACATCCGCGGCTCCATCACGCAAGGTACCGCCCGGCCCCCGAGGGGCCCCAGCTACAGCCAGCCCTCAAGGGGTTTATAGTCATAGTGGGCAGGGGAAGGGAGATTTGCCCAGAATGCTCAAACGGAACTTAAAAAGACGGGTACGTGAGTGTGACACCCAGATACGTGGAAAGGGATGTCATACACCTGTCCGTGAGCGTAACACACAGGTACACGGACAGGAGCAGGATACACATGCGCTTGACAAGTACAGTGTAGATCCAGATATGAAGCAAGAGTGTTTCTTACTTATTTGAAAACAAAAATAGAAAGCAGAGTATCAGCCGTCATCTGAAACCTATGACTTCATAGGTACTGTTCACTGAGAGTCTTCCGTGTGCTTGGCACTGACCCACGCACGCTTACATACCATCTCATGGTGAGAAGGATGCAGTTGGTAGGCCCATGTCGCAGATGGGGAAATGGAGACTCGGAGGCCAGGTTCTCTTTCCTGGTCAGTGGCAGAACCAGCTACTGTAGCCATGGGTCTTGGCTCTTGATCTGCATTATCTCATTTAATGTTCATGATTTTGTGAGGTGGTTCTGGTAAACATCCCCATTTTATATATGAAGAAACTGAGGTTCAGAAGAGGTGAAGGGATGTGCTCAGGGTCACACAGCAAGTGAACACTGGAAAGCAGGCAGCCTGGCTCCAGAGCTGGCCGGTATGGAGGTCCTGGACAGGGCAAGGCAGGTCTGGGGCCAAGGGGTCAGCTCCCCTCCCGCCCCGCAGGGATCCCACGCTCCTACGTGGAGGCCCAGGAGGATTACCTGCGACGGGAGGCCAAGCTGCTGAAGCGAGAGGGCACACCCCCGCCACCTGCCCGCGACCTGACTGAGGCCTACAAGGCCCGGCCCCTGGAGACGCTGGGCCCACTGAAGCTGAAGCCAGCCCACGAGGGCCTGGTGGCAACGGTGAAGGAGGCCGGCCGTTCCATCCATGAGATCCCCCGCGAGGAGCTGCGGCGCACGCCCGAGCTGCCCCTGGCCCCGCGACCCCTCAAGGAGGGCTCCATCACCCAGGTACAGGCTCAGGGGCAGGGCCGCCCCGCCAAGATCTGGGAGGGGCTGTTGGAGCTGTTGAGGTTCGGAGTCACACAGCTGCCTTTCACAGACCATGGCCTCATTTAATCGTATTCTCAACCTTGTGAGGCTAATGTCCATTATCCCTATTCTCCAGGGAGGCACACTGAGGCCCCAAGAGTCAGGCAGCCTGCCCAGAGTTAAAGGTGACAATAAATGTCTGTCGTCAGTTGAATCCTTCATGGGCCAGGGGCTGCCAGAGGGTTTTCTGTGCATGACTTGTTCACCACTTGCAACAGTGTTGAGGTGGTTCTCTTAACTGTTCTCATCTTGTTGGTGAGTGAACTGAGGTCCAGAGAGGTCCAGCGACTTGTCCAGGGTCACACAGCAAGTAGGTGACAGTTGTGAAACTCAAATCCAGATGTATCTCAATCTGCAACAGCTGTACTTCTCAGCATCCACCTCCCCCACTGGTGGGATGTATTTCATGTGGCCCCAGCACCCCTAAGAGGCCCTAGCCCAGTAGGGGAAGGTTAGCTCTGGCTGTATGAGGAGCTGGGTAGCAGGAACCACCTGAGAGCCACTGTCCCTTCAGGTGCTCAGAGGTGGCCCGATGGCAACAAGGCAGGAGAGTGGGTGGAGAGGGATACGGCGGTGTCATGGGAGGGGTCAGCCTGTGGAACGGTGCAAAGTGCCCGTGGAGAAAGCCGGAGGCGCAGGAGATGGTCTCATCCAGTGCCAGCGGGAGAGTCTGGCTCCGTCTCCAGGCAATTATGGAGCCACTGGCAAGCGTCCATCATGGGGAGGGGGGGGCGCAGTCTGATTCTATAATATTCTCTTTCATGAGAGTGTTTCCCTTTTCTGATTCATTCCTGAATGAATGCAGAGTGTTGTTACTTGAAGGACATGGTGCCCCACTGTGTACAGTGTTCCCCAAACCTGCTAAAACCGGTGGCAGTTCCAAGTCCGTCTACAACCCCCTCTGCAGCCACCCATTCCGACCAGAGAGCAGACATGAGCCTCAGCCCTGACCTCAGCACCCTAGGCCTTAAGCCCCAGGGTGGGTGGAACTGAATTTTGTTGCTAAACATTCCTGCTCGGCATTAGGGGACATTGGCTATGGGGCATGGAGGGTTCCAGGCTGAAAAGAGGAAGGTTTTTGCTGGCCTGGGAGCATCGAGTGTCTTTCCATCATGGGTCGTCAGACGGTCCACCACTTACTCCAGGAAGTTGACTGGCTGACCGACCCATTTTCTGCCACCTCTGCAGCTGGCCCTGGGTGACTCTGGGGGCCAGGTGGGAGGCCAGGACGGGCGAGCAGGGCAGCAAGAAAGTTACACTGATCTCAGGCCTAGCAACACCTTCCTCTCCCTGCCCCATTTTATGGACAGGAAGCTGAAGCTCAGGCTATACAGTGGTCCGGGCCCACAGACTGTGACTATGGCTTTGCTCACACCCCGTCTCCCCCAGGGCACCCCGCTCAAGTACGACACCGGTGCGTCCTCCGCCAGCTCCAAGAAGCATGACGTCCGATCCATCATCGGCAGCCCCGGGCGGACGTTCCCGCCCGTGCATCCGCTGGATGTGATGGTCGACGCCCGGGCACTGGAGCGAGCCTGCTATGAGGAGAGCCTAAAGGGCCGGCCAGGGACTGTCAGCAGCTCAGGGGGCTCCATCACGCGTGGCGCCCCAGTCATTGTGCCTGAGCTGGGCAAGCCACGGCAGAGCCCCCTAGCCTATGAGGACCACGGGGCGCCCTTTCCTGGCCACTTGCCCCGTGGCTCACCCGTGACCACGCGGGAGCCCACACCGCGCCAACAGGAAGGTGAGTGTGCTTGCGTGTGGACAAACTTCCTGTCTCAAGACACTGCTTTGCCATCCACCATTGGCTCAGGTCAGATGGGTGTGGGAGAGGCTCCCCCTTTTCAGGACACTGCCTCATCATCTGCCGTTAGCTCAGGTCAGATGGGTGTGGGAGAGGCTCCCTGTCTTCAGGACACTGCCTCTCCGTCCACCGTTAGCTCAGGTCAGAAACCTGGGAGTCCTCAGGGCCACCCGTACTCCACCCCAGCCAGGCCATCAACAAGAGCTGTAGGTTCTACCTCTGACTCATATTCAGGATGGAGTCACTTCTCTCCGCATCTCTGTCACCAGCCAGGCCACCACGGTTCCTCACCTATTTCTCTTATTCTGCTACAGTCTGCCTTCCAAATGGCAGCGAAAATAATTTTTGAAAATTTAAATCAAATTTTGCCACTGCCCAGCGTAAATCTTTCCAGCGACTTCCCGTACTTAGAAAAAAGAATCTGAATTTCTCCCCGTGATTTTGGGGACTCTGCCTGCCCTGGCTCTGCCCACCTTTCTGCTCTCCTGTCTCCTTTGTATGCCTCAGGCCCAGTCACATTGGCTCCTTGAACATGCCCAGCTTGCTCCCTGCTCAGGGCCTTTGCACGTGGTGTTCCTGCTACGCAGAATGCCCCCTCCCCTTCAAGTCTCCCTAACTGGTCCCTTTCCGTCTCTGTGCAGATGTCACCTCCTTAGAGGCTCTTAATGACCCAACCCCCGTCCTGGTCACACTCGCCACATTTTACAGTGGCCTTCAGAGCACGTTCACTCAGCAGTGCTTGTCTGTTTGCTGGTTGATTGTCTGTCTCCCATGTTAAATGTCAGTGCAATGAGAGCTGGGGCTTTTGTCTGCTTTGCTCGCTGGGGCGACCTCAGCTACCGTAACAGCGTGCAGCACACAGTAGGGACTCCATATATACTTTTTGATTGATTGAACGAACAAATGGCCACTTGGAGGAAAGGAGGAACAAAATAAATAAAAGGACTAAAAAGCAAGTGACTTGATGAATAAATGTAAGAAAAGATAAAGTAAGTGGAGTGAAGAACTGAACGGATGAGGGGAACGGGCTGGGCCACAGCCCTCAGAGACCCCACCCCAAGTCCCTTCCCATAGCACTAGCCTCGGCAGCCCTTGCGTTGAAGGGGCCGGGACGGCCCTGGTGCAGAGTTCCAATGCTGCCCCCTCTCCCCGTCCCCACAGGTAGCCTCTCGTCCAGCAAGGCATCCCAGGACCGGAAGCTGACGTCCACTCCACGAGAGATCGCCAAGTCCCCACATAGCACTGTGCCCGAGCACCACCCCCACCCCCTCTCACCCTACGAGCACCTGCTGCGGGGCGTGAGCAGTGTGGACCTGTACCGCGGCCACATCCCGCTGGCCTTTGACCCCACCTCCATACCTCGCGGCATCCCTCTGGATGCAGGTGACTGCCCAGCCCACAGACCCTGCATTGACAGGGACGGTGCAGGGAGGGCCAGGGACTCCTCGGGCATCCACAGCTAGGCTCCTCTGAAGGGGAAACTGAGCCCCAGAGGTGGGAGACCCATTGGTGCCATCATGTGAACAGTTGAGGTTAGAACACAATTTCTCTAGACAATCTGAGGGCCACTCTGGGGTACACATTTTCAGTGGTTTTCTTTTCTACAGGATTTATCAGAGCCTTTAAAATCACAAATGGGCTCTGGAGCGCTTTCAAAGATGGCACAAGTTTAAGCATTTCCCAAACTGACATGATTTCCAAATCCTCTGTTTAAAAAGAAGCATCCCTCAGATGTATTAGTAGCCTGCATTTTGGATGCCCCAGTTTTGGGGGAACTTCGATCCAGAGAACAGCATCAGTAGGAGGGACGCCCATGTTTTGGGGAGCAAGTGTTTCCCTACTTGGGGGGTGAGGGAAGGCACTTTCAGGCCTTCAGTTCTCTTTTGTGCGTTTTTTTGTTTGGGTTTTTGTTTGTTTGTTTGTTTCTTGTTTTTGGAAATTTCATAGCTATTTGTGAATAAATTTCATCTCTCCATCTTAAAAACATGAGTTACCTAGGGTACCGTCTGGGTCTCTCACATCAGAGATTCATATTTAAGGGGCTGGGGAGGCCCAGGCATAGATGGGTATTGTTTTCCTTTTTTTTTATTAGTGTGCTTTACATGAGAGTTTACAGCTCCAGTTAATTTCTCACACAAAAATTTATACACATACTGTTTTGTGACGTTAGTTGGCAGTCCCCACGATGTGACAGCACACTGCCGTTTTCCACCGGGTTCCCTGTGTCCATTCAACCAGTTCCTGTCCCTCCCTTCCTTCTCCTGCCTCTGGACAGGAGCTGCCCGTTTGGTGGCACATATAAGAAGCACAGTCCTCACACATATTTTTTGTTGTATAGTCCTGTAATCCGTCTAAAGAGTGGGCTTCAGGAATGGTTTCAGTCCTGGGTTAACACTGCGTCTAGTAGCCATAGTCTTGGGGTTCCTCCAGTCTCTGTCAAACCATTAAGTCTGGTCTTTTTATGTGAATTTGAGTTCTGTTCTACATTTTTTCTCCTGCTCTGTTTGGGACTCTGTTGTTATCGCTATTCAGAGCAGTCATTGGTAATAGCTGGGCACCATCTAGTTCTTCTGGGCTCAGGCTGGTAGAGTCTCTCGTTTATGTGGTCCTTTAGTCCTTCGGCCTAGTATTTTCCTTGTGTCTTTGGTTTTCTTCATTCTCCTTTGCTCCAAGTGGGATGGGACCAATTGATGCATCTTAGATGGCCACTTGCAGGCTTTTAAAACCCCAGATGCCACTCACCAGAGTGGGATGTAGAACATTTTCTTTATAAACTATGTTATGCCGATTGACCTAGATGTCCCCTGAAACTATGGTCCCCAGGCCCCAGCCCCAGCTACTCTGTCCCTCAAACTATTTGGATGTATCCAGGAAACATCTTTGCTTTTGCTCTGTAGGGTGTTTTTAGGGATCCAGGGGTGTAAGTAGAAGGTGCCAGGGTTCAGGAGTGGGGGGATTAAGGCGGGTGGGGGCTACATCCTCTGACGAAGGCGTGGGCCCGCCTGACCCTGTTCCCCTTCCCCTGACAGCTGCCGCCTATTACCTGCCCCGGCACCTGGCCCCCAACCCCACCTACCCGCATCTCTACCCCCCATACCTCATCCGCGGCTACCCCGACACGGCGGCCCTGGAGAACCGCCAGACCATCATCAACGACTACATCACCTCGCAGCAGATGCACCACAATGCAGCCACCGCCATGGCCCAGCGTGCCGACATGCTGCGGGGCCTGTCACCCCGCGAGTCCTCGCTGGCGCTCAACTACGCCACCGGCCCGCGAGGTGGGTGTGCCAGGCAGGCCGTCTCCATTGGAACGGGTGTTACTCCTGGTTTGCCCAGGTCTGCTTGATCGGGCAGAGGACGTGGCGTCCCAGAGTGTACGGCTGTGTTCTTACCCAGGCGGCTAGCATGTGTTCCCTTCAGAAGCCTGGGTGTGTGGGTGTCCCTGGGCCCCATCGGGTGGGTCTGGAATGGCGCATGCTGTGAGCATAGATAGGTGCATGCGCTGTGGGGACGAGCTAGCCTCTGACACGTGTGCGCGTTGTGTGCGTCCGTGTGCATCTGTGGAACGAACACATAGCTGTGTGCTTTCTTGGGCTACAGGGTCCTTAGGGATTTAAAAGCAAAAAGATCGTAACGTGAAGAGGTTTGAGTTGTGGGTTCTCTTGGCTTGTAAACAGCCTGCGGTTGCTTTGCACTTGCACATAAAGGAGCATCTTCCGGAAGCACTTCTGTAGTGTTCTGGAGTGACCCAGTAGGAATCCGGCCCATGGGAAAAACCAAAGTCACATTAGGCATTTTGAACAGAGGGGATCGAATAGAGGAAACTGATTACACAGGCATCAAAGGCTGGAAGAGCCACCGGATGCCTGAGGTCATGCAGAGGTGTCAGCCTCAGGGAGTACCCATTTCCAGGGCTTGGGAATAAGATGAGGAGGTGGATTACCAGACCTGAGCGTTTGGAAGAGGGGTCCTTTGGGGCGGGGGCCCAGTGGCAGCAGGCTGGCATCCTCCTCCGTAGCTACAGCCCCGGCCCCCTCCTCCACAGGCATCATTGACCTGTCCCAAGTGCCACACCTGCCTGTGCTGGTGCCGCCAACCCCAGGCACGCCCGCCACCACCATGGACCGCCTCGCCTACCTCCCGCCCGCTCCCCAGGCCTTCAGCAGCCGGCACAGCAGCTCCCCTCTCTCCCCAGGTAGTGTGCTCCCCCCGCGTCACCTGTCACAACCCTGGGCCCGGGAGAGAGGGTGGTGTGGCCCCCAGCAGGTAGTGCCCCCGTCACCTGTCATGACCCTGGGCCCGGGAGAGAGGGTGGTGTGGCCCCCAGCAGATGCCTGGCTGTCCCACCCCACCCCCAGAAGACGTCAGGCCCCGCCCAGACACTGGGCTGAGCCTCAGGCCTTGTTGGCGTTCCAGGAGGTCCCACGCACTTGACAAAGCCAACCACGACATCCTCGTCCGAGAGGGAGCGAGACCGGGAGCGTGAGCGTGAGAAGTCCATCCTCGCGTCCACCACGACGGTGGAGCACGCGCCCATCTGGAGACCCGGTGGGCAGCAGAGACCCCGCCCCCATGCCTGGGGGTACTTGTGGGCCACGCGAGGCCCACCCTGCACCGCTGACCCCGCGCCTGTCCCCAGGTACAGAGCAGAGCAGCGGCGGCAGCAGTGGTGGGGGTGGTGACAGCAGTAGCCGGCCCGCCTCCCACCCCCATAGCCACCAGCACTCGCCCATCTCTCCACGGACCCAGGATGCCATCCAGCAACGACCCAGCGTGCTGCACAACACGGGCATGAAGGGCATCATCACCGCCATGGAGCCCGGCACACCCACGGTCCTGAGGTGGGCCAGGTTGGCACGCGGGAGGGGACTGGCAGGGTTGGGGATATGGGTTAGTGGATGTGGATGCACAGTGGATAGGGGGGTTGGGGAGTGTTAGATGATATGGTTGGTTGGTTGGTGGGTTGATGGGTGGAGGGGTTCAGGGATGCACAGTGGACAGGTGAGTGGGTGGGTGGTAGATGATATGGTGGATGGGCAGATGGGCTGGGTGATGTACAGTAGTTGGGTGGGTGGGTAGTAGATGATACACTTGGTGAGCTGAGGGGTGGATGAGCGGGTGATGGATAGGTAAGAGGAGAGGTGGGTGGGTAGTAGGGTGAACAGGTGATGAGTGGTTAGGTGGAGGAAAGAGTAGATAAGAGGCTGGATAGATGGATATGTAGGTGGGAGTTGGATGGATTGATAGGTAGATTAGTGATTGGGTTGAGTGGGTTCGGTGGATAGATGGATGAGTAGGTGGATAGGTGGTGGGTGGATGGGTAGGTGGTGGGTGGATGGATGGATGGACAGGTGAGTGGGTAGGTGAACGGATGGATGGGTAGGTGGTAGGTGGATGGATGGGTAGGTGGGTGGGTAGGTGAATGGATGGGTGGGTGGGTAGGTGAATAGATGATTGGGTAGGTGGATGGAGCCTCGGTTTACTTATCTGCAAAAGTGGGGATAATTGTTATCCCGAGCAGTCACCGTGAGGATCGGAGGTGGTGCACTTATATGTTCCTTCTTTTTGGTGGGCCTGCTGGCACGAGCCTCGTCCCTGAGCTGGGTTGGTGGACACAGTGATGGTGAGGCAGGTGGCAGCCAGGGAAGGCTATCTGGAGGAAGGGACATGTGAAGCTCAAAAGTGGCTGAGTTAGCCCTGCAGGAGTGGGGAGAGTGTTCCAGTTGGAGGGCACAGTGGGCGTCCAGGGAGCTGGCGGCCACTTCCCCAGGCCACATACCTGCCCCCAGCGGTGTCTTCGTTCCTGTCTGACCGGTGGCCTCAGCCGCCTCAGGGCCTTTGCGCATGCTCCTCCAGCCCCTCCCCAGGCTCACTTCCTCTTGCACCTGAGCAGGTCCCCGCTCGAATGCCACCCCCTAGGAAGGCATCTCCTCTCCACCCTGCCTGAGAGTCTCCTTGCTGTTCTTTTTCCCATCACTCGACTGAGTTCAGTGACCACCCCCTGATAGGGTTTTGACTGGTTATGAACATGGTTACAGTCTGTCTCCTCAGCTGGCTAGTAAGTTCCCTGAAGGCAGGAATTTTGGTCTGGCTTCTTGGCAGTTACCTAGAGCAGTGCCTGGCACTCAGTAGGTGCTCAGTAAACATTTCTGTAATGAGTGAACGAATGAATGAATGAGCCAACTAGGTGAGGCCATGCCCCAGGGGTTCACAGGCCACGGTCAGGGGCGGTTGACTCGGAGCAGCAGGGAGTGTGGCTGTGACCCGGGGCCGCTGGGACTCACTGAGGGTGCTGGAGTGAGGGGGTGATCACACCCAGGTCCACATGAGCCCCCGAGTGTGGCTCCCTTGGCCGCCTGACCCGTTCTCTCCCTCCCAGGTCCACCTCCACCTCCTCGCCTGTCCGCCCTGCCGCCACATTCCCGCCTGCCACGCACTGCCCACTGGGCAGCACGCTCGACGGGGTCTACCCCACCCTCATGGAGCCTGTTCTGCTGCCCAAGGAGGCCCCACGGGTGGCCCGGCCCGAGCGGCTCCGCACCGACGCCAGCCACGCCTTCCTCGCCAAGCCCCCCGCCCGCGCCGCACTCGAACCCGCCTCCTCCCCCAGCAAGGGCTCCGAGCCCCGGCCTCTGCCGCCCCCTGGCCCCAGCCACACGGCCATCGCCCGCGCCCCGGCAAAGAGCCTCACCGCCCATCACGCCAGCCTGGAGCAGCCAGCGCCGCCCGCCTCGGCCGCGGACCCACCCCGGGAAAAGACTCAAAGTAAACCCTTTTCCATCCAGGAACTGGAACTCCGTTCTCTGGGTAAGACCACCCTGACAGCGGCCACCTTCATAGACGCGATAATCATGCGTCAAATTGCCCACGATAAGGGGCCGCGAGAAGGAGGTGCGCTGGTCGTCGTCCCCCCTCGCGATGGTAAGACTTCCGGCCCGCCGCCCACCCACCCCGTCTTGTGGTCTAAAGATACTGCCAGATCTCTGCTTTTTATACTTCCCCCGTTTTTTGTTGGTTTTGGTATTTTGTTTTTCAACCTGCTGCCGCTGCCGAGTGCACGCTCTGATGGTTCCTGCAGCCACCGCAGCCCGATGGGGGGCGCCTCATCATTTGCACATTGTTTTCCCGTGATTATTATTATTTTTTTTTGGATTTTCTTTTTTTTTTTCGTTAATGAATGGATCTGTGATTTTGACGCCGACCGCGCCTCCACCTCCCCCTCTGCGCCTTCGTTTGGGGAGCGGGAGTGGGCTGCTAAGGGCGGGGGTCCTGCCTGCTGCTGTGTGTCAATCAAGCTCGATGTGGAGAAACTGAGGCAGACAGGGCGGGAGGAGGGAGTCCCCACCCTTTAAGGAGGAGCTGGGAGTCTCCTGCTGTAGTGGGGGGACTCTGGGCTGCCCCAGCCCGTGGCCCCGGCCCCTGGGAGGAAAGAAGCCCATGGAGTGCCCAGCCTTCCGCCTCTCCCTTCCCCGGGGGCTGGTGAGGCTGTGGTCCGAGGAGGACCGCCGGGGCCCGAGCCTCACCTAACCAGCCCACCTGGCCTTCACCCTGCCCACTACCTGCTGCCCCAGCCCACCCCGCCTTCCCCGTCTCCCTCTCCTCAGCCCGCTGTCTGTGCATCTCGGCTTCTCCCTCCCCGTCCGTCTCAGTATCTCTACCTTGGTGTCTCCTCTCTCAATGGGGCCGTCCCTCTCTCTCACTTTCTCTCGACCACCCTCTCTCCCCACATGCCCTCTCCTCTCTGGCTGCCTACCCACTCCTGGCCTGCCCCCCTTCCATCTGCCCACCCCACCCCAGCTGGGGTTTCCCCATCCTCCTGACCCGCCAGTGTGGGGGCTGTGGGAGGCCAGCAGCCCCTGGATGCACGGCCCAGCTGACTGCCCTTGCCCTGTGCAGGTTACCATGGCGGCGGCGGCAGCAGCTACAGCCCCGATGGGGTGGAACCCGTCAGCCCCGTGAGCCCGCCCGGCCTGGCGCATGACAAGGGGCTCCCCAAGCACCCCGAGGGGGCCGACAAGAGCCACCTGGAGGGGGAGCTGCGGCACAAGCAGCCAGGTGCGGCCCGGTCCCGTCCCCAGTACACCAGCACCTGGGGGTGGGGGCTGTTGTCCACAGCATGGAGGGGAGGCTGAAGCATAAGCAGCCAGATGCGGCCTGGCCCCGTCCCCAGCTCACCAGCACCTGGGGGTGGGGGCTGTTGTCCACGGCACGGAGGGGAGGCATTTCTGGGGTGCACAGGGAGAGGAGTCGGCAGTGGGGTTCGAGCCTGTATCTGTCTGTGACAGTGACAACAGCCCCCAGGCGGGTGGCCCCCCGTCTCCCCCATGCTGGCCCGCTGACCCCCTCCACTCCACCCACAGGCCCCGTGAAGCTCAGCGGCGAGGTGGCCCACCTCCCGCACCTGCGGCCACTGCCTGAGAGCCAGCCCTCGTCCAGCCCGCTGCCCCCGGCTGCCCTGGGGGTCAAAGGTCACCAGCGGGTGGTCACCCTGGCCCAGCACATCAGTGTAATTACCCCTTCTCCGCCCTCCTCGTTGTCTTTGCACCTTGGGCGGGACCAGGCTTGGGGAGGGGAGTGTCAGGTCCGGTGGGTAGCTGAGTCCCAACGGGGAGGCATGGGGATCGAGGTGGGAGATCCCAGGGGCTCAGACTTGGATGCCGTGGCTGCTTCTCCCCCAGCTGTGGGCCTGGCGGTCCAGGGTGCGGGCCTTCAGGGTGTCATGGCCCTGGTCCCACGGGTCTTTTACTTTATGGATCGTTGTCTTCAACACTGGCCAGTCAAGTCCCACCCCTCTGGCCACGAGGGACGTGGAGGCCGGAGCATGGGCCCGCGAAGGAGGTGCCACTCTTCTGACCCCTGCCTTCCTGATCCCCGCCCCCCGCCCGCAGGAGGTCATCACCCAGGACTACACGCGGCACCACCCGCAGCAGCTCAGCGCCCCACTCCCCGCCCCACTCTACTCCTTCCCCGGAGCCAGCTGTCCCGTCCTGGATCTCCGCCGCGCCCCCAGTGACCTCTACCTCCCACCCCCTGACCATGGCGCCCCAGCCCGGGGCTCCCCGCACAGTGAAGGGGGCAAGAGGTGAGTGGAGGGCCATGCCCTCATGGGCTGGCACTCAGGAGCCTCGGCCAGAAGAGAAACCAGGCTCAGCGTGAGGGGGGCCTGGCCACGGTCACAGCTAGTCAGTCGTACTTCATGAGCGCGCCATACTCCTGGGTTCCAGGCTGGGGTCTGAATACCTGGAATGTATGGACTCGGGTTCTCAGCACTGAGGAGCATGGGTAACACATTCATCCCCATTTCACAGATGAGGAAGTGGAGGCCTGGAGAAGTGCACTAACACGCCCACACGTGGGTGCATCCACAGGGGCAGGGCTGAGGCTCAGACCAGGGCTGTGGAGCAGCCCGCACTCTTGTGTGTGTACACACCCACGCTCGTATGTGTACTCATGCTTATACACACATCCGCATATACAGACATACACTCCTGTGCACACACATGGACACTCACCAGAGGGCCTAGAGCAGGACTTAGCGTGCTGTAGCCGCCAGGTTTTGTGCAGTGTGTGCGCTCAGGAAGGTGTTGACGCTTTTAAAGGATTGGGTAAATAGAGAAGGCGCTACAGAGACCACAGTGTTGTCCCCTATAGAACAGGTGGGCTGCTGCTGGCTCCAAATGCAGCAGGGCTAGGTGGGCCCACCCCTTCGGGACAGAATGCTGACCCAGCCGGCAACCTGTCTCCACCCAGGTCTCCAGAGCCCAGCAAGACCTTGGCCCTGGGCAGCGGCAAGGATGGCATCGAGCCCGTGTCCCCACCAGAGGGCATGGCCGAGCCCGGGCACCCCCGTGGTGCTGTGTACCCGCTGCTGTACCGGGACGGGGAGCCGATGGAGCCCAGGTACCACGGGGCACCCTTCTTCCCCAGGGGCTCTGGTCTCAGCTCTGTCCTACTATGGGGAGGTCAGCAGGGGCCTCAGGGCACAGCAGGATGCTAGGAGGTCAGCGGGGGTTTCGGGGTGTGGCGGGATTCTGGGAGGTCAGCAGAGGCCTTTGGAGCACTGCGGGATGGCAGGAGGTCAGCAGGGGCCTTGGAGTGCAGCGGGATGGCGGGAGGTCAGCAGGGACCTCGGGGTGCAGCGGGGTGACTCCAGGCCTGCTCGGCAGATTCTGCCCATCTCGGGGCACAGTGTCCTGAGCCATAGGCGAGGTCTGCTCAGGCTGACTCCTTAGGCCAGCACATGTTGAGTGAGGGTCCAAATAGCGTGGGGTGTTGTGGAGGCAGAGAAAGAAGCCAGGCTGCAGGCCTCAGGGCGGGGCATGATGTTAGCCCCATCAGAGGGCTAGGCTGCCACAGGCATACTGGAGTGGCTCCCCAGGGCTACTGGGTGTCTCAGAGATATCCCAAGCCCAAGGTGTGTAACCTGCAGAGAAGATTTCAAGAGACCAGGTCTTCTGAGAGACAATGGGGTGCAGGGATGGGTGGGAGGCGTTTGGTTCTGAACAGCAAAGACAGTCCGGTGGTGAGCTCCCCATCACCAAGGGCGTGCGCACTCAGTACTTACTGAGTGAGCTGACCTGGGGTGTCTGCTCCCTGCAGCAGGGTGGGCTCCAAGTCTCCAGGCAACACCAGCCAGCCGCCGGCCTTCTTCAGCAAGCTGACCGAGAGCAACTCCGCCATGGTTAGATCCAAGAATCAGGAGATCAACAAGAAACTCAACACCCACAACCGGAACGAGCCGGAATACAGTAAGGGCCGCTGGTCCCCTGCGAGCATGGCCACGCTGGGCCGGGCCTGCCCTGGGGTGCAGAAGCCACAGACACCCTCAGGGCGCCACCCACTCCCTGGCCTTGGCCCTGCATTCCAGGGTCCCCGGGAGGGCTGTTCGGTGTTTGCCTGTCCTTGTAGGTGCTCACTGGTGCAGAACGTGGTGTCTGGAATAGTGCCGGGTGCATAGCAGGCGCTCGGTGGGGCCCACGGGAGGGCACGGGTCTGTGCTGAGCCCCAGGCGAGGCCCCAGGCAGGCCTTGTCAAGGTCTCCTGTGCAGATGGCATCACTCACTGCACTCGGCTCCCTGGTCCCCAGCACCGAGCCAGGCACATAGTAGGTCCTCAGAAGAACGAACGAGAGGGTGGGGAGCCGGCGAACGATCTCATAGTGTGTGTCTTCAGGAAGCCTTGTTACTGGGGCATTGGGGGCCGCAGTCGAGCAGGTGGGCACTGGCCAGGGCTACCCGATTCCAGGGCCTTGCTGAGGGTGGGCGGTGGGCGGCGGGCGGCAGGCGGCAGCCGGCAGCATCTCCTGCCCCAAGCCAGTTAACAGTGCTGAACCTCAGGCCTTGGCCCAGACCTCCCGGGGCACCTGGCCTAGACCCTGCAGGGCAGGGGAGTTCCCAGGAGCCACGGGCCCGAAGCCTCACCCACCTTGTTGTCCCCGCCAGATGTGGGCCAGCCAGGCACGGAGATCTTCAACATGCCGGCCATCAGTGGATCAGGTAACCAGCCAGTGTCTGTGCCCTGCCCCCACCCCAGCTCTGCCACTTGTGGGAACTGGGCTGGGTGCATGGGACCTAGGAGGGACCTTAGGGGGTATGTGGTCTCTGCCACTTGGTGGAACCAGGCTGGGTGCATGGGACCTAGGAGGGGGCTCAGGGGGGGTGTGGTCTCTGCTGCTTGGGGGAACCAGGCTGGGGATGTGGGGCCTATGTGGGGCTCAGGGGGTGTGGCCTCGGCCACTTGGGGGAACCAGGCTGGGGGCGTGGGACCTAGGAGGAGACAGGTGTGGCCTCGGGAGCCCCAGAGGAATCATGGGGACAAGGGCGTTTCTTGTTGAAGTTTATACCCTCGCTCTCATCTAACTCACCCTTGTTTTAGCGTCGCACACCCCTTCAATCTCATGTAGCTTAGTCCTTCCTCATCTCGCTCAAACCCCCACCACCCCGTTCTCGACCGCCCCCTCCTTCTCATCTCGGTCACGCCCCCCATTCTTATCTAGCTCGCCCCCTTGTCATCTAGCTCACACGCCCCCGTTCCCACCTGGCCCCCCCCTTCTTCTTGCACAGCCCTGCGGTGGGCGGGAAGGCCTTGCTGCGGGCATCTCTGGAGAGAAATCCAGAGCTCCATGCACACGACCCTGGAAACGTCTGCTGCTGCGTTTGCTCGGCCACTCAGATGGGGGTCGAGCATGTGGGCAGGGAGCTCCGGATCCACGAGGCCCATTCTGTAGATACAGCATCATTGTACTTGGGAATCAGGCCCGGGCGCAGAGGAAAGCTTACTTTTCACCAAATCAAATACAGAGGCAGGTGTAAATTCACATGCGTTTTTCAAGCCAAAACGGTAGGACTTGCAGATATTTTGGACTTGAGGGGTCTGTAGGGTCAGACCCTCACTGTATGTTCATTGTCTCTAGGAGAAGAATGGGGGTGGGGTGTTGGAGAAGAGGCCTGGCGGGCCGAGGGGCCAGCATGTTTGTGGAGCTGTTGGACCTCTGAGGCCAGAGCGCGTGCAGGGCATTCAGGGTTCTCAAGCCCTGGGAACTGGGTGAGCACAGGACATCAGCTGATGGGACTGGATTTTATGCAGGGCCATCAGAGCCTCCAGCGAGCATCCTTGCTCTAGGCAGGGGTGCAGGGGGCCTGACTGGGCCATGTGTGTCTTCCCAGAGTCTCTAGATGTGGGGGCTTTGCTGAGCCCAGGCAATGGGAAGGAGAGAGTTTGGTCGAAACAACCAGATGGTTAAAAGTGAATGTTTCCAGAGAATGTTCTAAATGTTGACCTAGGTGGTAGACACACAGGTGTGTATGTAGAATTTTGTGCGGCGGCAGAATTAAGGTGTGTGCTAAAACTTGTATGTTTTTTCCACCCAATTTAGTCCACAGATTTTTTTCTAGGACCTGGTCCTTGTTTCAGGCTTTGCCTTTATAAATGGAGATGGTTGAGCTTACTGCCCAGCTTTCTGACGGCCCCAGTGATTGCTGGAACTTTCCTCCAAGGAGAACACGCAGGCCTGGCCTCCTTGCCTCGTTCTTTCCACTTGATGGCATTTTCTTGGGAGTTCTGGGTGGTGCAGACAGTTACTGTGCTTGGCGCTAACTGAAAGGTTGGAGGTTCGAGTCTACCCAGAAGCACCTTGGAAGAAAGGCCTGGTGGTCTGCTTTTGAAATACCAACATGGAAAACTCTGTGGAGTGCAGTTCTACTCTGGCACATGTGGGGTTGCCAGGAGTTGCAGTCGACTCAGCGGCAGCTGTAGTCGGGGTGTTTTCTTAATGGGGAGGGCCGTCAATATTTTTTTTCCCGTGTTTACCCACCCCTCTTGGAAATTTTACTTTTTGTTGATGAACTGGCTTTTTAAGAGCTAATGAAATGTGGCAGAAATGCAGCTAGGAAAGTAGAGCATTTCTGGCTGCAAATGAGTTTGGAACTAAAAGGAGGAAAAGACAGACAAAATCTAGACAGCAAACAGTTGCCGTACAAACATGTTATTGAGTGTCGCTTTTAGCCTCACAGAAGCCATCAGCCTACACACTAGTGGTCGGAAGGACCAGGCTGTATTTGTACAAGTCACTCAGAGCAGAAGTGTCCCAAAAACATTGCTAATCTGCAGGCAGAACTGGCTTCGGCTTCATTGTAGTCTTTGACAGCAAAGTCTGGTTTCACAAAAATGCTGACATTTAAAGAGATGCCCATCTGGGGTTTGCCGAAGTCCCCCAGCATGGCCCTTCAGCTCCAAGAAAAAATCTGGTAAACAGAAAAGGCTTAAAATGATTGAGTCGTGGTGTTGGGAAGGACCCGTCGGTGAGCAGTCCGTTGCCTCGATCACTTTGTTCTGGGTGGTGTGGGCGGGCCGGGTCTGTAGGTCGTCTCTGAGCTCTGCCCTGTCCCCGCACGCACGGTAACCGCATGGCTGTGCCCTCCCGATGTCTCTGCACCTCTCTTTCCGGTTCCTTGGGAGGGGAGAGGCAGGCGGGTGGAGTGTGAGGCCCAGCTGGGGCAGCAGGCAGGTGGCTGAGGTTCCCAGGCCTCAGAGGCGGGGGCAGACATCTGTGGTCACGACACATCTTGAGGAACCAGGATGGACCCCCAAGCACCGACCTCTGGCTTGACCCACTTCCCAGCAACCCCTTCCTTCCCTAAACAGGACAGCCTGCCCGAGTGTCCCCAACACACTTTCTTCCCCCTTTCCCCTACTTAGAATTGAAACAGCAGTTAGTAGTCTCAGCTGGAGTTGGGGACATTGGGGCTTTCGACTCCCCAGAGGGCAGAGCCAAAACGAGGCTGGGGGCCCATGTAACTTTCCCACCCCCCCTCCCGGGGGATTCTGAAATCAGGGGACCCTCCACTCCCGCCCACCCCCACAGGAAGCCACAAAGGGTCTGGGAGAGGACAGAGAACAGGATGCTGTGCCAAAATGTGCTCACCGTGTATTTCTCTCCCTTTCCTTCCCGTGTCTCCCCTCCTCGGTCTGCCCTCGGCCCTGTGTGTCTGTCTGTCCGTCTCTCTCCCAGGCCTAGTGACCTGTAGAAGCCAGGCGGTGCAGGAGCACGCCAGCACCAACATGGGGCTGGAGGCAATAATTAGGAAGGCTCTCATGGGTAAATACGAGCAGTGGGAGGACCACCCGCCGCTCAGCGCCAACGCTTTTAACCCTCTGACTGCCAGTGCCAGCCTGCCCTCTGCTCTCCCCATAACCACTGCTGACGGACGGAGTGACCACTCGCTCGCCTCGCCAGGTCTGCAGACTGCGCCGCGCCCCTGCCCCTCTGGGGTCATTAATCTGCTCCCTCGTGTGCCTCTGACCCCCTCACCCCAGCTCTGGAGCTTATGACTGTGTGGTTGTGCGCCTCTTGAGCTTCTGGAGTTTGCTAAGCCGAAGCTGCCCCCCACTAGGCTCTCAAGTGCTTCTGCTTCCTAAAACCACTAGCCCGCGGCCGAGCCCCCTGCAGCACCCCTTTCCTGCTAGAGGTGCCCAAGACGCCCCAGCATCCCGGCCCGCCTGGTGTTTTCTTGGGGGAGGACCCACCTGCTCCACACGGACACCCTGGGGCCCAGTGGGGGCGGGGGGGGACTTGGGCCAGGACGGGGGGTGCCAAGGGGCTAGGCCCTCTCTGCCTTGGGGGCCCATTCCGTGCTCCATGTCTGAGTAGGAGACCTGGATGGGGAGATCCCAGGAAGTTTCTAGACTCTTAATAGGCACCCAGGTGCCTTGCTGGAGGGCCTGCAGCCACCGAGCCCCCCAGTGCAGTCAGGGCGCCAGCAAGGGCCACGGCTTCCCGCTTGGGGTCAGGCCTGGGTGGCCTAAGGGACTTTGGGAACAGCCGAACCCTTTCCCCACTAGTTTGATTCCTATGGAAACTCACCTCCAAACTCTAGGCTCACAGCTGGGTCTGGCTATCTGGTCGACCTCCTTGATGTCCTGAGGCCAGCCTGTCTGGGGTGGGGACAGACGAGCCACCTGGGGTGGGGGTGGGGGGTCACCCTACTGCTCCACCACCCCGATCCTGTGCTCTTTTTTCGGTCCAATGCAGCTGCTCCCACTTGTCATCTCACAGGTGGTGGTGGCGGGAAAACTAAGGCCTCTGGCAGACCCAGCAGTCGGAAAGCCAAGTCCCCAGCCCCAGGCCTGGCGTCTGGGGACCGGCCCCCGTCCGTCTCCTCTGTGCACTCGGAGGGAGACTGTAACCGTCGGACCCCGCTCACCAACCGTGTGTGGGAAGACCGGCCCTCTTCTGCAGGTGGGCGGCCACGGGCAGTTCTGTCCGGGGGGCCTGGCAGTGGAGTCCCAGCTCCTGACAGCCCACAAGCTTCCTGTGAGGGTGGGGGTGTAGGGCATGATCGGAGCTCTTCTAGGAAGCCAGGTGCTGGCCCCTGACCAGAGAGGTTGGAAGATTCTGGGAGAGATGGGGGACAGGGGCCAGATCACCCAGGCTGGGGGCTTGTGCAGGGAAGCGGGAGGAGCACCGAGGGCATGGAGTGGGGAGGCCCATGAGCTCAGGTCTGTTTGGAGGATTCCTGGCTGCTGGGAAACAGCCCCAAGGGCCCAGCAGTGAGGCAGCTGCTGTGCTGGCAAAACCTGTGGGGGCATGACTGGGGTGGGGGTCTGCCGGCTCACAGGGCCTCTGGCCATCTACCCCACAGGCTCCACACCGTTCCCCTACAACCCCCTGATCATGCGGCTGCAGGCAGGCGTCATGGCCTCCCCGCCACCTCCCGGCCTCCCCGCGGGCAGTGGGCCCCTGGCTGGCCCCCACCATGCCTGGGATGAGGAGCCCAAGCCCCTGCTCTGCTCGCAGTACGAGACGCTCTCTGACAGCGAGTGACTCCAGGGGGCAGTGCCAGAGCCCAGCGAGCAGCAGGGCGAGGAGCCTGGTGGACGCTAACTCCCCCTGCTGAGGAAGGAGCCCAAGTCTGTCCGTGCGTCCGTCTGTCCAGAGCCGGCATCCTTGCCTGTCTAAAGCCTTAACTAAGACTCCCGCCCCGGGCTAGCCCTGTGCAGACCTCACTCAGGGGATGTTTACCTGGTGCTCGGGAGGGGAGGGGAGGGGAGGGCACGGCGGGCATGTGGTAGCCACACCCCGCGGCCAGGGACCCAAAGCAGGACGACCACACACCTCCCAGGCCACTGCCTCCCCCCCCAACGCATTTGGAACCAAAGTCTAAACTGAGCTAGCAGCCCCCGCACTCCCCTATCCTGCTTAGTGCTCTGGACAGACGGACACAGGCCCTGTCCAGCCCCCAGGACACTAGTCCTGGCCCCACGGGCTGCCCTGGCCCTGCTGGAAACCAAGGCAGGCGAAAGGGCCGGGTACGGCCTGGGGCAGCGGACGCTCTGAGCAACTGGACTGTTTTTCACACATCGCCGCAGCGGTGGGAAGGAAAGGCAGATGTACATGATGTCTTGGTTTACAGGGTATATTTTTGATACCTTCGATGAATTCAGATGTTTTACGCAAGGAAGGACTTACCCAGTATTATTGCTGCTGAGCTTTCGATCTCTGCTGACCGTTCAAGAGCCGTGTGCCAGCGGCCCATGGTGACCATCGCCACAGGACAGAGGGTCCACAGGACAGAGGAGCGGGGGCACCCACCTCAGCCCTCTGTCCCGCCTCCCTCCCTCCCTCGGGCAGAACTTGATGCGCGTTCTGTGGCCACCATCTGCGCACGGCGGCGGTGTTCTGTCATTTACACACGTTCTGATTAAAAAGCGAATTATACTCAAGTTACAAAGATTTCCTCTCTACTTCGAAATGGGGGCCCAGGGCTTGGGGGTGGGTAGGAGTATAATTCTGGAGGGTCGGGGAGCACCCCCTCACCTGCTCACACTTGAGAGGAGGGAAGTAGAAAGTGACGACTGACAGGGATGGGAGAGGAGTGACAGCTGGAGACAGATGAACAGAGATGGACGCACAGAGGGCCAGATGGACAGATACAGCCAGCCAGTTAGGGGTGGGGCCTAAGCGCTGCTCATTATCCTCTGACTGACTGTCAAGTGGTCTGCAGCACCCCCCTCCCAGCAGCTCGGCTGCCCTCGGCCTGTGCGTGTACTCACAAGGCAGTGTCTCAGAGGCCCGTGCAGTGGGGGCTGCTCCCTGGTGCCGACAACTGGCATATGGGGGTGCAAGAGTGTGCCCGTGTCACTACGCAGACCCCGTGCCTGGCTGAGGGCTGGGCTGCAGCCATTGACTCATTCTCAGGTGGAGAGGTTCACACACAGGCAGTCTTGGGGGATGGGCTCTAAGCCCTGGGACTCCACCTCCACCCCCTCACTGGAGCAGAGGGGGCGGCAGCGTCCCCCCAGGAACTATCCTCATGCAGGGAGCAAAGGGGGTGCCCACGGAGTAAAATGGTAGGATCTGAGGAGCAAAGAAAGCAGTGGCAGCAACTTTGGGTTTGTGCATTTTATTAAGATAATCAACTGACACTTGTCAATCAGAAAGCACTTCGCTGCAGAGAAATTCACCATCTGGGTCAACATAAAAGTACATCCGTCATCTTGCCTCCTGGATGTGAGCACCAGGCTGCCCTGCTCCCAGTGCACAGCCACGCAGAGCCCTCCCTGTCTCAGGGTGAGCAGGGTAGCTGCAGGGACAGCCCCCACAGCTGAGTCCACACTGGTCTGTGGGAAGCCCCGAGGGACCCTCCGTGGGGCTACAGGCCCTGCTTCGCCAGCATCTGCCTCCCACCCACGTGCGGGTGCTTTCCCGGGGCCTGTTCGCACGCCTCCCTTCTCCGCTCTCCCGCTTTCAGGCGTGATGCTGCAACCTCCAGGAAACACAAGAGGCCCAGGGGAGCCCACAGCTGAGCTGAGAGCCCCCGGGAGTCCAGATCCGGCTGCACTCGCGGCTGCCTCGCCACGCTCGAGTTTGGTCCTGAAGGTGTTGCCTGGACAGGGGTGACTGAGAGCGCCTGACGGTGAGGCGTGGGGTGCTGCGCTCAGAAGCCTGCCGTTAGGGGGCTCAGCCTGTATGTTCACACCGCAGGGCTCGGACACCGCCGCCCCCGGGTCAGCATCCAGACTTAAGGCCCAGGGACCGCTCAGCCAGACTCCTGGCCTGGGCCCACTCCTTCACCGGCACTTGGTGCCACGCTGCACAATTGGAAAGGCCTGTATGGACGCACACGTCTCCTCTCCAGGAATGGACAGGCGTCTGGACGGCACCCCTTTCCCTCAGCCTCAAGGTAGGGTCACCAGACCTCGACACACTGGCTGCAGCCAGCTCCATGACCAAGATCGGCGCTCCATCCTTCCAGCCCCTTCCTCGGCCGCACTCCGCCTCCTGGGCACACCCCAGACACGCTGTAAGGGGGCGGCCCCCGCCTCCACAGGCCTGTCCCCAGCCGGGAACGGCCAGAGGCCACACCCACGCTGCCTCGCTGGGTTAACGCGCTTGCAGATGCTCCGACTGCATCGTGCGCGTGGCGGGGGTCAGAGACGGCGGCGCGGGGGGCTTGGGGCAGCGTCACTCCCCGCTGTCCGGCCCGCGGCCCCCACCGAGCCCACGCTCCGGCCCCTCCCGAAGGCTCCCGCCGTGTCCACCGCCGGGGCCGGCCACATCCCGCTAGAGCCCCTCGGGGCCGAGCAGGCAGGGGCCAGGCGCCTCGCACTGCGCCAGCTGGACGCTGGCGGCGAACCTGCGGCTGGGCCGGCCCAGGCTGCAGTGCACGGTGGTGCGGAAGGAGCTGCGCGCGTGCTTGGGGAAGATGATGGTGGTGCTCTCGAAGTGCAGGGCGCGCGGGCGCGGCTCCAGGGTCAGCTGGCTGCGGTAATTCCGCCACGTGCAGTTGGGCGCGGCCACGATGGTCTCGCTGTAGGCCGTGACGGTGGGCACAGGCGCGTAGAAGACGTTGTCCCGGAAGTGCTTTTCTGAGGCATACTTGACCTCAGAGTTGCAGCTGGGGAGGGAAGGGAGCAGAGAGGCTGCAGGGGGAGGCCAGACGGGGGCGCAGCCAGGTCAACACCCACGTGGTCTCGAGTGGCGGCCAGAACCGAAAAACCATGTCTGCTCTCTTCGAAATGTCAGAGTCAAGAAAGGCTTGTTGTTGGCTACTGTGGAGTCAGCCCCCAACTCAAGGCGAACCCATGCGCAAAGGGATCAGAACGTTGTGATCCACAGGGTTTTCATTGGCTGATTTTTGGAAGTAGATTGCCAGACCTTTCTTCCTAGTCCATCCTAGTTTGCAAGCTCTGCTGAAAACCTTGTCCACCATGGCCCGACCCTGCTAGTATTTGAAATACTGGTGACATAGCTTCCAGCATCACAGCAACACACAAGCCTCCGCTGACAGATGGGTGGTGGCCGTGCATGAGGTGCATTGGCCGGGAATCGAACTCAGGTCTCCCGCATGCAAAGCGAGAATTCTACCACAAACCACCACTGCTCTATTCCAGCTTAGAGGAGACCAAGACATGACAGCTGAACGCGATGGGGGCGTCCCAGGTGGGAATCTGGACTGGAAAAAATAATGCCATACAGGACATTATTGGGACAACTGGTGAAACTTGAATCGGAAGTGAATTTGACGGTGGTGGTGTTTTAACAGACTCCCTGATGTTGGCAACTGTGCCGTTGTTAATAAGAGAATGTCCCTGTTCTTAGGAGTGCACGCTGAAGTCCTAGGGGCTTACAGCGGCAGGATGTCATCAACCTCTCGAATGGCTCCGAGAAAAAAATCTCTCTATATAAAAAAAAGTGCTGTGAAAGCTAAAGTAAGCGAGCAAAGTGTAAACAATGGATGAATCCGCGCAATGGGTACCCAGGAGTTCCTGTACTCTTCTTGCAACTCGTCTGTAATTTTCAGATGATATCAGAATCACTTTCCCAAAAAAGTTCACCCCTTGAAGAATGACCTCCTCAAGGGTCTGCCTCCGTGTCCCCCAGGTCTGCTTCCCAAGGCCCAGAAAATAAAACCAGAAACAAAGGTTCCAGGAGGAGGTGTGTTGCCTGTCTGCTGCCCGACTCTCTCCCCCCAGGTGACCAGTAGGTGTTTGTGGAGACGGCCAAGGCAACCCTCATTCACTCTAGCAGGCCCCTCTGACAGTCTAACTTGGACTGGCATTTGAAAAGTTAACAATGAGAACAGCTGTGGAAGAAAAGCATTTGAAGTAGACCCATTTGTCTCCTGGGGCCACGTGGAGAGCTGGGGGGTGGGGGGAGGCAGGGCGTGGCTGCCCCAGGCTGACATGGACAGGTCTGTCTGGAGAACCCCTGTGGGCACACAAGGGAGGCCCACAGACTCGAAAAGCTCCCACTCTGGGCCTGAGCCCAGCCCCCTGAGGATGGCACATCCATCCCCACAGGCAGGCTCCTCGTCGGCCACCTTAAATCAGGGAAACCTGAAATCCGGACACCACTACGGTGTCCCACACGTGGGGGGGGCACCGAGTACACGCACAGGGCAATGCCGCCACATAAAGGGCGCCGTGACAGTGACGCTGACCACGTGGCACCTGGGGAAACGTTGAGGGCCAGAGGACCCCAAGGTGCTGGAGGTTTGCCTCCTGCCATGACACCTAGTGATCTGGCAGGACCTGAGGGGGATGGAGCTGCCAGGGGGTGGAGGGTGGCCGTGGGGTGCATTTCCCAAACTTGCTGGGACTGTGAGGTTGCACTGCTCATAAAAATCAACAACAGAATATTATGCAGCCGTAAACATGGACACTACAACATGGATGAACCTTGAAAACATCAAGCCAGACAGAGGACAAATACTGTGTGATTCCACTTACATGAAATATCTAGAATAGGCATATGGTTAGAGACAGAAAGAACGGGGTTACCTGGGGCTCGGGGGGACAGGAAATGGGAAGTTATTGCTTAATGGGTATAGAGTTTCTGTTTGAGATGGTAGAAAAGACCTGGAACTAGATATA